AGACATATCATGCCGTTGTAGTTTCACTGATGTTACCTTTCCAACTTGTTCTTGGTCTACCTCTTGCTCTACATCCCTCTAAAATCCCCATCCTCTATTTTAAAAGAAGAGTGCAGTTACTATTATTATTAATTTTTGGGGAATGAGTTGCCATTTTGTACACACAGTGTATCCCATAAGTTTCCATTCATAATGAAAACTGCAGAAGAACACGTATAATCACAGCAGGAGTTATGCTTCTGATGTCATTGTTGATATGTTTATTTTTCCTGTATATGGAGACTTATACAGGGGAAAAGATCTTGTGGAAGACCAAGGGAAACCCTACGTAGAACTATCATCAGGGAAGGCTCGCTCATGGGCCACTCAAACATCCAAGACCTACAACAGATTGCAACGAACCGCCATGCATGGAGAGTCATGACCTCTGCCCTATGTGCCGCACTCGACACAAGAGGAAAGACTCACTAACTAACTAATGGAGACTTATGGGACACCAAGACGCACACAAACACGTATAAGCACAGCTGGAGTTATGCTTGTGACATCATTGGTGTATGTTTATTTTTCCTGTCTATGGTGACTTATGGGACACCCAAGACGCACACAAACACATATAAGCACAGCTGGAGTTAGGCTTGTGATGTCATTGGTGATATGTTTATTTTTCCTGTCTACGGAAACTTACGAGACATCAGGACACACACAATGTCATCTCACATGAAATGGTCATAATAATAAACGTGGGCTCAAGCCTAGTTCTAACATAGCATGTATTTTGTGTAGGGTTCACTCTAGCACTATAATAACATGTATCGTGCGAATAATAAAGGGAAACAAACCTGAATCATCAACGTCGGCTGTCAATCTCTCAGACGAGTTGACCCTGCTTTTGTAGTTCAACTTGAACAGGCTGGTCTGGGGCCTGTTCCCATGGTTAACATATGACACCTGCTGTCTGTCGCTCCCATCTAATAAACATTGGGTATGGTGGCCGGGGGCAAAGAATGCAGGAATAAAAAAAGTGCAAAGCAAGAAAAGCAAGCGAGTTGGCAACTGAGTATGTCATAATAAACATTGTTACTATTTTCTGGTATATTAAATATGTATCTTTTGTCTCTTATCCAACATATTATTTAACTCAAAGTAATGTTTTCCCACTGTGGCCGTAGTTAAGGTTTAAACTTCACTGCAGTCCAGTCACCCAATAAATGCCAGGAAAAATCAAATGAAACATCCCTCACTGTCCTATTTCCAAATTAGTGAATGAAACAATTAGTCCCTGTAAAATCCAGAAACATGCACACAACTATTTTTATCCAGAAACAGCAGATCAAGTGGTTTGGCCATCTCGTTAGAATGCAGCAAGATCAAATACCATCACAAGCACTACATCTCAGAAGATCAGCTACAAGAGCAAGAGGACGGCAGCGGGAAAATACGGATCGACAAAATTAAAGAACTCTACGTCTGCACAGCATGACAATAGGCAGTGGCAGCCAAAGTGCACTGGATAGCAAATTACTCCTCCCCACGACGCTTAACAGCAGAAGTGGTTTATGATGATGATGATGAGAAAATGCATAAGGCAGTTATTTCCAGAGGTGTTAAACCCAACAGTCACTACCAGAATTGCAAATTGTCACTGACCGAGGTAGTCAGTCATGGTAAGTTGGCCACACATGCGCAAAATTATTTCATAAGGTATTTCACCAGGCCACACATAAACTGGCTACCTGCCATACAGGATTTCTCACTGTAAGTTCAAAAAAGGAAGGCCCAAACAAAACACTGCACAATCTATTGCTGGAACATTTTCCTGTCATCTAGGGTGTCAGTGTTATTCTTCTTCTTAGTCCATGGCATTTTAAGAATTTGTAACACTTCAGTTCAACGGCAGCAGCGGCCGTGGCATAGGCGTTGGGAGTCCGACTCTTAATTCCAACGTACCGCGATCGAAACCCCACTGCTGGCTGCATGGATTTTTATCATGGTATTTGGCGTCGCAGGTCGGCCCAGCCTAAAAAGGGTACCAAGATGGCTATCCTGGGGAAGTAAAGATGGCCGGCATAATGCTGAACATATTACCCACCTAGTGCCGATGGTCTGTAAAAATATGGGCGCTCTTCCCATACACCAAATATGCCTAATAGGCGTGAAAAGGGATTTTACTTTACTTAATTTATCAGTTTTGTCATCAATAACCTGGTAAGAGTCCATGACTCACATTCATCAGCTGCCACAGGAAAGATGCAAGGCCTCAACACAGATACTTTAACTCACTTGCAGGTGCTTTGCCATAGGTTCTTCAACGCGAAAATACACCAGGAAATGAACTGTGCAGTGTATGGTTTGTCTCCTTATTCTTTCAACATCTTCTTATCATTTATCAGTCTCGTCTCAGTATGTTTTAAACTAGTGGTCTTGAACCTGGGAAGAAAGGGGTGGGGAAGAGGGGGTGCCCGTCTTCCTGGGGTGCTGGGATGGGGTTTTGGGGAAGCTTATTTAAAAAAAAGGAGAGGGGGGGGGGGGGGGGGGGGGGGGGGGGGGGTTTTACAAGCAGTTCTGAAATAGAATTCATTTGTACTTGTAATACCCAGAATTTGCTGTTTTAACAGTCATGAAAACAAAACAGCACTGCCAGCTAGCTTGATGTGGAGAGTGATTCTCACTGTGCATTCTCCAATGTCAGACCAAAAATAACAGCTTTCATCATAACAAATCAGTGTCAACCATCACAGTGAGATTCGGACACTAAATGACCAGTTGTTGGTGACTCTGTTTCTTTTGTTATTTGACACTCTGAACTGTGTGCATGTTTTTTCTCTAATTTCTTGTTAACGGCACTTGGGATTTTTTCTGGAGTCCTCTTCTTTTTAATCATATTTTGTTGGGGCGAAGAGAAGTGTAGGGGGTGTTTTGTCATATGCTCAGCCGGGAAAGGGCGGGGGGGGGGGGGGGGGGGGGGGGGGGGGGAGCAGAGGGGGAGGAAGACCTGAAAAAGGTTGGGATCACTGTTTTAAGTAACATTATGTAAAAAGCATTCACTTCTGGATGTGTTGCTTGTACAAATGACTTCATTAAGTACTCTTATCTTTCACTAACAAATTATTATTACCACTATAAAGTGACCAATGTGTACATAAGATAACGAATTTATGAACAGAACAGAATACTGGTAAATTCTGTCACACTTGAATCAAGTTAAAGGCCAGAACATGTCACCAATAGACTGCACACAAGCTGGACATATCACATATCTGAGTGAAATACACAGCTTAAAGTGTTGCATTAAACACTTTCTTTATTAGCTTAGGCAATGAAACCATTAATTCGCTAGACATTTAATCAGTTATTGGACATTTAATAATTTATTGGACATTTAATTAGTTACTGGACATTGAATCAGTTATTGAACATTGAATCAGTTATTGGACATTTAATTAATTACTGAAAATTTAATTAGTTATTGAACATTTTAATAAGTAAGTGGACATTTAATCATTTACTGGACATTTAATTAGTTACTGGGCATTTAATTAGTTACTGGACATTTAATCAGTTACTGGGCATTTAATTAGTTACTGGACATTTAATCAGTTACTGGACATTTAATCAGTTACTGGACATTTAATCAGTTACTGGACATTTAATTAGTTACTGGACATTTAATCAGTTACTGGACATTTAATTAGTTACTGGACATTTAATCAGTTACTGGACATTTAATTAGTTACTGGGCATTTAATTAGTTACTGGGCATTTAATTAGTTACTGGACATTTAATCAGTTACTGGACATTTAATTAGTTACTGGACATTTAATTAGTTACTGGGCATTTAATTAGTTACTGGACATTTAATCAGTTACTGGACATTTAATCAGTTACTGGACATTTAATCAGTTACTGGACATTTAATTAGTTACTGGACATTTAATCAGTTACTGGACATTTAATCAGTTACTGGACATTTAATTAGTTACTGGACATTTAATCAGTTACTGGACATTTAATCAGTTAATTGACATGTAATTAGTTATTGGACATTTAATTAGTTATTGGAAATTATTAAGCCTTTATAGTTTTTTGACACTGAATTAGACATTGGACATTATTAAGCATTTAATTAGTTATTGAACATTTAATTAGTTACTGGACATTATTAGGCATTTAATTAGTTATTGAATATTTAACTAGATATTGGACATTGAATTAGATATTGGACATTTTTAAACATTGAACTAGATGTTTGACATTTAATTAGTTATTGAACAATTAATTAGTAATTGAATATTTAATAAATTATTGGATATTTTTAGGCATTTAATTAGATACTGAATATTTAATTAGTTATTTGACATCGAATTAGATGTTAGACATTATTAAACATTTATTTAGATATTTGACATTTAATTAGTTATTGAACATTTAATTAGTTATTGAACATTAAATTAGTTATTGGACATTATTAAGCATTTAATTAGTTACTGAACATTTAATTATATATTTGACATTAAATTAGATATTAGACATTATTAAACACTGAATTAGATATTGGACATTATTAAACATTGAATTAGATACTGGACAGTTAATTAGTTTATCAGTCACCAGTAACAGTTCTACAAAGTAACCGGAGAGAGAGATGAAGCAGATTCATCTTAACATTTTTTTGATGATTCAGTATCTAAAAATTTTTGTTTAGCTCTTTCAATTTCAGAGGACATCATATTAGTTATAAATTCAACATACAGTATTTTCCTTGGTACCCAATGAAATAATTACTTCACTATTCGACAACTTAATTAACTCACTATTCAACAATTAAATTCCTGCTAACGGAATGTTTTATTAGCTGAATGTCAACAAAGATATTCAAAGCGAATATTACAGATGTAAGGATCAAGCAAAAACTGGTAAGAACAGAACAAAATAAAAAAGCAAGAAAAAGGAGAAAAAAGGAAAAGAAGAAAAAAAAAAGAAAAAAGGGAAATCTCACTGTGTATAACTGTCTTGTTCCTGTGTTTGTTTTTGGAGCCTTCTGTGCCGTCTGTATCTAGACTGTCCTGTGCAACTTTGAGGAACACCTGCAGGACACAGCAATATCTTCTTTGGACATGCCACAACAAGCCATCACTAGAACAACCTTCAGTGCATTGGTGGGATGATAGTATACTGAACAAGACTAACTGAATTGACCGTGTGATTTTACATTAACCTACACTAGACGCAATGAGTTGAGTTGAGTTCAGTTCAGTTCAGTCAAGAATTGACATCACAGCACATTCTCATGCACGCTCCGTCCTCATCTTCAGCAGCCAGCGCAGAGTTCCAATATTGATGGTACGGGTCAAAATCTGGTCATATGTCTGTCTTGCCTTTCCTCTGAGTGTAATGAACTGGCCAGACCCTCTGGTTACACCCAGATGCCTTATTCTCTTCAGGCTATAATAATCTTCTATCTCTACAGATTCCGTTCCTTGTTCCCAAAGGGCCTTGACCACATCTGCCTTGTCATGTATCTAGTTCACCACCCAGTGGTGCAGATCCAGCCAATCTGCCTGTTCATTACCCACCACGTCGGCATGGCCTGGAGAAAAGACCCAAAGTATGCTCACTACCTGTGACATTTCTAGTGAAGCTTGCCACTCTGCTCGAAGACACATTGACTGATTATCATAATAATCTAGACTAACTGCAGTGGCTGGATAATACGGTAGTAATCTAAACTTAAAAAATTTAGAGTTGAGAGGATCGGCTTCAATGCACCGGGATTTATCCCATATAGCTTGGTGTGTTGCAGAACAGCAAGTCGCATGCCGAGAGTGCCGCAGAGCACAAACTCAATAGCTCCAGAAACAAACCCACCGGGATCTCCGTATAAACTGCACTAGTGAACTGAACAGCACAGCCGTGAAGCAAACCAACAACCTTCACAGTGCGAGGCAAACGGCTTGACCACTTCGCCACAGAGACCACCTGTAATCATCTATGCTATCTGCAATGACTAGATGAGACTGTTCTAACCTAAACTGACTGCAACGAAGGGATGATTTTACATTAATCTGATCTAAAAAGACCAGCTGCTATGATAGTACACTAATCTAGACAAACTGCAGTGGGATGACGCTATGAATCTACACTGTACTAATCTAGACAAACTGCAACAACAGAATGCTATTACACAAGTCTACACTAAGTGCAATGGAATAACACTGTACTAATCTAAACAAACTGCAGTTATGGAATAACACTGCACTAATCTAGACAAACTGCAGTTATGGAATAACACTGCACTAATCTAGACAAACTGCAGTTATGGAATAACACTGCACTAATCTAAATAAACTGCAGTTATGGAATAACACTGCACTAATCTAGACAAACTGCAGTTATGGAATGACACTGCACTAATCTAGACAAACTGCAGTTATGGAATAACACTGCACTAATCTAAACAAACTGCAGTTATGGAATAACACTGCACTAATCTAAACAAACTGCAGTTATGGAATACCACTGCACTAATCTAAACAAACTGCAGTTATGGAATAACACTGCACTAATCTAGACAAACTGCAGTTACGGAATAACACTGCACTAATCTAGACAAACTGCAGTTACGGAGTAACACTGCACTAATCTAAACAAACTGCAGTTATGGAGTAACACTGCACTTATCTAAACAAACTGCAGTTATGGAATAACACTGCACTAATCTAAACAAACTGCAGTTATGGAATAACACTGCACTAATCTAGACAAACTGCAGTTATGGAATAACACTGCACTAATCTACACAAACTGCAGTTACGGAATAACACTGTACTAATCTAGACAAACTGCAGTTATGGAATAACACTGCACTAATCTACACAAACTGCAGTTATGGAATAATACTGCACTAATCTAGACAAACTGCAGTTACGGAATAACACTGCACTAATCTAGACAAACTGCAGTTACGGAATAACACTGCATTAATCTAGACAAACTGCAGTTATGGAATAACACTGCACTAATCTAAACAAACTGCAGTTACGGAATAACACTGCACTAATCTAAACAAACTGCAGTTACAAAATAATACTGCACTAATCTAAACAAACTGCAGTTACGGAATAACACTGCACTAATCTAGACAAACTGCAGTTATGGAATAACACTGCACTAATCTAAACAAACTGCAGTTACGGAATAACACTGCACTAATCTAGACAAACTGCAGTTATGGAATAACACTGCACTAATCTAGACAAACTGCAGTTATGGAATAACACTGCACTAATCTAAACAAACTGCAGTTATGGAATAACACTGCACTAATCTAAACAAACTGCAGTTATGGAATAACACTGCACTAAGCTAGACAAACTGCAGTTATGGAATAACACTGCACTAATCTAGACAAACTGCAGTTACGGAATAACACTGCACTAATCTACACAAACTGCAGTTATGAAATAACACTGCACTAATCTAAACAAACTGCAGTTATGAAATAACACTGCACTAATCTAGACAAACAGCAGTTACGGAATAACACTGCACTAATCTAAACAAACTGCAGTTATGGAATAACACTGCACTAATCTAGACAAACTGCAGTTATGGAATAACACTGCACTAATCTAGACAAACTGCAGTTATGGAATAGCACCGCACTAATCTAGACAAACTGAAATTATAGGATGTATTTACCTAAGCTAACTTTATCAGAACATTTACTGATGACTGACATGGTACTGGACAGCTGATTTAGGACCAACCACTGTAGACTATAGCTTCACAGAAAGTAACAATAATATATACATTATCAGTATAGACATCAGGGGCCTGGTGGTGTAGTGGCAAAATGCTGGCCTGAAAGTAGTGGGTTTGATTCCACATCTGAGTCTGATTATTTCCCCAAATGACCTTGGCTCCCAAGCAGACCCAGCTTAACACTGGTACCAGGTAAAACCCTGGAAAGTAAAGGTGGCTGTTATGATGTTGATCATATCAACATTCAAGAAATAAGAGTCTAGAACCAGGTCTGATGTGCCACTGTCAAGAAAAGGGTCTTTATCTATTTATTTATTTCAATTTTTAATTGCTTTTTTAAAATTAAATATGGACATGAGTAAGACAGTCACAAAGAACACATATGAGTAACACAGACAAGAGTAATATGGAAAAACACACATTTGCAGATAAGACAAAAAAAACAACAACATAAGGGAAGGAGGGAAGGAAGGAAGGAGGGAAGGAAGGAAGGAGGGAGGGAGGAAAAGAAGGAAGAAAGGAAGGAAGGAACATTCAATAAGCCTATCTCCCAACCTCCTCCAGACTTGTATCAGAGATGCCGTAGCTGGAGATGCCCAACTGCTTATAGGATTTCTCCAAGGCCACAAACAGCTTCTGGTACTTCTCCGTATGGCCGTCATTCTCTGGCAAGCGATAGCAAACCTCCATGCTGTTGTCTTCCACTAAATCAGCCCCAGGAACATATTTCTCTATGAAAGCACTCAGTCTGGACAAGCTGAAGCCTTAAAACAGAAAACAAATTGCAGTCACACCAGTAAACAATCCTTTATAATTGAACAAAGATACACAAAAACAGATTGCAGAATTGACTGCCTGGCAAATTTCACCACACCTACACCTTTCACCACACCTACACCTCTCACCGCACCTACACCTTTCACCGCACCTACACCTTTCACCGCACCTACACCTTTCTTTTAACCATCATTAAAAGTCTATGGTTAAGCACCAGCAAGGAGATTAAAATATGAATTCTGAAAGAATGCATCTTCCCTGTAGCAACATACAGATCTGAGTCTTGGACTATCTCCCAGTCCTTAAGAAAGAGAATAGGGGCTTTTGAGCTCAAATGCTAAAGAATGATTCTCAGAATATCTTGGAAAGAGAAGAGGGGAAACAGTGACATCTTGAAAGATCTGGTCATCAAGGAATATTGGCTAATAAACAGCATCCTGTCTCGGAAGCTGAAACATTTTGGTCATATCAAGCGCCACAATTGTAAAAAATAATAGCAGAAAGCACGGTACCAGGAAGGATGGGCAGGGGCCGACCAACACGAAGATGGGCACAGGACATAAGTGACTCATTGAGAATGAAAGTACATGAGGAGCGAGAGCTGGCGAGAGACTGAGTTTCTTTCAGGCAGACTGTGATGAGAGTAACGTTCTGCAAAGGACCAGCTACACGATGATGACACCTTTCTCTACTTCTTAGCATTCAGGCAGATGCGCTCAGTTTTCAAAGAATATACCCCTAAATAGTCGACTTTTACGACATGCTAGTTAGGAGGCTATTGGGTATATTCCTCTTTCCCCTCAAACTTTACTGGATCTGCAACAATGGGTGGTGAATCAATACATGACAAGGCAGATGTGGTCAAAGCCCTGTGGAAACAAGTAACGAAGTCAGGAGAAAAACTGGATTATTATGACCTGGAGAGAATGATGCACTGGGTGTGACCAGAGGGTCTGGCCAGCACACTACACTCAGAGGAAAGGCAAGATGGACATATAACCAGACTACAGCTGGTACAATCAGTATTGGAACTCTAAGCTGGTGGCTGAAGATGGGGACGAAGCATGATTGGGAACACCTGGAGTGCTCTGATTTCAATTTTTGACTCAACTGCCCCAAAATGGGGCCTAGAAACCCACACAGCTATACAAGTTTCACATTCAGATCTTCTGGTACTCAGATAATGAGTCCGCTTCAGCCCTATGGTTAAAAGGATTTGGAACCAAGACACAAAGCCAGCTGGCAAGTGTGCCAACCACAGTAGATAAAGCGAAATAAACCAGGCAATAACTGGTCAAATATAGTGTTTGTGACCTTATTTCTTCAAATTTACAATTTAAATGCCACAGATCCACCAGCTGCAAGTTCTTGTTCCTTTCATAAAAGAAGCCCACGCAAACAAAATCCCAGCCTTCAGCGGGGCTTGAACACGGGACCTCAAGCACTCGAGGTGGACGCCATGCCTCAAGACCACTTAGTCCCCCTTAAAGATGATGATGATGATGATGGTCACACTAAGGTGACTTTTCATAAAGACTTGCCTGGAAAGATTTTTGCTTTGGAAGCGTCATCAAGGTCTGCATAACTCTTGTCAAAAAAGCCCTCGTCATCATCTCCCCCATAAGTTGGCTGAAATATCAAATCATTATTGTCTGACAGTCTCATTTTACCAAATCAACATAATGGAAAGAGCAATGTCTGACAAATTATCATATTACTAAACCAACATAACAGAAAAATCAGTGTCTGATAAATTTCTATATTACTAAACCAACATAAAGAAAAGAATAATGTTTGACAAGAAGAAGAATATGATGATGACAAAGAAGAGGGTTGTGGAGGAGGATGAGGAGGAGAAGAAGGAAAGGAGGAAGAAAGGAAGGGAGGGAGGGAGGGAGGAAGGAAGGAAGGAAGGAAGGAAGGAAGGAAGGAAGGAAGGAAGGAAGGAAGGAAGGAAGGAAGGAAGGAAGGAAGGAAGGAAGGAAGGAAGGAAGGAAGGAAGGAAGGAAGGGAAGGAAGGAAGGAAGGAAGGGAGGGAGGGAGGGAGGGAGGGAGGGAGGGAGGGAGGGAGGAGGGAGGGAGGGAGGAAGGCAGGAAGGAAGGAAGGAAGGAAGGAAGGAAGGAAGGAAGGAAGGAAGGAAGGAAGGAAGGAAGGAAGGAAGGAAGGAAGGAAGGAAGGAAGGAAGGAAGGAAGGAAGGAGGTGATGATGATGATGACCGGTAAAGTCTACCTGAACATCCATCACTGTCCTGACACTGGCGGCCGTGGATGGGCGACTGCCGTGGTACAAGGAGTCTGCTGCCGACTCAAATGCCGATGATCCGTCAGTATCATGGACATCACTGCGAACAAGAGTCAGGTAATAGCCGCTGCCAAAACGATTTTTCAGAAAGAGACTTGTTCCGACAGTGCACAGCTTTCCCTGGGAGATGATGGCAATACGGTCCCCCAGCACATCAGCTTCATCCATGTGATGTGTGGACAGGATGATGGTGCGTCCTTTAGACAGTCAATGAAATTATATTTTTATATATTCGTTAACTAATTTTCAGCTTTGGGAGAGAACTAAACAAGTTCCAATGGACCAAGTGGGAAGAAAAAGACACTGGTTTGGATAGGACACACAATGAGAACGCCCAAGAACAGTGTAACTAGAATATCTTTGCACTGAATCCACAGAAGAGTAGAAATAAAGGCAGATCTGCGCCTCCTCACTGTTTGGTCTCCACAATAAAGGTTCACTATAGAGCACAATCTGCTATTTGAAAACAGTACATGGTGAAATCCCAGGCTCTTCCATCATGCAATTCTCTGCTGGCTAAAAAAAAAATTAAAAAATTGAGAATGTACATTTTCTTTTTTTTTTTAATAAACCGTCCATCATAGAAATCAAACCCCTAGTATTCTTTCATGATAAACAAGATAAAACTCAAATGCATTCATTAGTCTCTTCTTCCTCGTGTTCAATGCTGTAAACTCTGGTGGAAAGCTCTGGTTGTTCTTCCACCTCTGGGCTTTAGTCTTGTTCTAGAAACTGAGTTGTGTGTGCACATCCATTTTACAGATCTGGCTTATATGTATGCAGACTGCTGGTTCATTGCCCTTCGAGCAGATGTATTCCAGCTTGGAGGGAAACATCCATAACTGATTTTTATGACATGCCTGTTTGAGGAGGCAGTGGGTCAATCCCCACCCCCACTCCCCCCCCCACCCATTTACCACACAAAGTGGCTCCAGAACCCACACAGGGAAATGCATCATTAATCGCTCAGTCACACAGAATCTATTCATTCCAGAAGAACCAACATATTACCACACGCACAAAACAAGACAATCACCTTTCTTAAATTTCAGCAAAAGCTCCCAGATTGCCCTACGTGCATAAGGATCCACTCCAGCTGTGGGCTCATCCAGTATGACTGTACGGGATCCCCCTACAAATGCGATGGCAACAGACAGTTTGCGCTTCATGCCACCTGAGTTAGAATACAGTGAGATATCAGCCTCAACAAAAAAAAGTAACTTGTACAAATATTTACAGAAAAAGTCTTTAACTGAAATAAATAACTTACTTGTAAGAATAAACGAAGACATTATCATTAACATAATATGAAGTCATGAACATTAACAAAACAATCTATACAGATATCAGGTTTAACAGAAATAAGAATTTACACCTGGCCAAAGTCAACTAAGAATATTTTTGGCAATGTCCACTTATGTTCTAGCTACAACTAGGTCAAACAGAACTACCGCTCTTCACACAACTACATAATTTTCATTTGTTGAATCTAATTCAAATGCAGTTTTCTTGAAACAAGGATTTAGCACTCTTGTGACTTTAGCATAGTGCCAATGATATTAGCTTTAACAGAATATACTTCACATAAATAGGAGCTTAAACAGAAATGTTATTGTGTACGTGCATGTGTGTGTGTGTGTGTGGGGTGGGGGGGTGGGGGGGGGGGAAGGGGTGTGAGTGTTTATGAGCTTTAACAGAAAAAGAACACATATAAATAAGAGAATAACAAGAAATAAAAACACATAAATAACAGCTTTGACAGAAAAAAAAAACCATAAATAACAGGTTTACAGAAATAATAACACATAAATAACAGCTTTAACGGAAATAAGAAAACATAAATAACAGCTTTAATAGAAATAAGAACACATAAACAGCTCTAACAGAAACAAGAACACAAACAACAGCTTTAACAGAAACAAGAGCACGCACATAAACAGCTTTAACAGGAAAAATACATACAATTAAGAGCCTTTAAAAAAAAAAAATATATATATATATATATACATGAGCTTTAGTAGAAATAACGTGTACAAATAAGAGCTTAAAAGGCAATAACAACACATATAAAATTTAGCTTTAACAAAAATAATTATAGATTTAAATAACAGCTTTGACAGAAATAAGAAGACAAAGAGATAAAGATATTTCAAATAAATAAAAAATACATAGAGATATTAGCTTTAAAGGGAAAGGGGGAAAAAAAGAAATGTATAAATGTACAGCAAAGTTGCTACCTTACCTGACAAATTCTGTGACTTTTCTTTCCGTTTGTGTGGCAATCCTACATCCTGTATCATCTGATCCATTTCTGCTTTGATATCTGCTTCACTTCTGCCTTTCAGTCGTGCATAGAACCAGATATGTTCCTCAACAGTCAAACTGCAAAAGTTTCTCATAAGATGGATGTCTGTCCCACAAGTCAGATATGGTACTACAGCTAAACAGTGAAAGCTATTTCAGTAAAACACCATGTATAGTCTTCTTCTTCTTCTTCTTCTTTATCTTCTTCTTCTTCTCTTCCACCTTGTACCTCAGCGAAGTGTCAGGGGGAGATGTAACATTCGTTGATGAGCTCTGCCAAGAGCACTATTAAGACTGATGTTCATTTCTGTAAGGCTGTTCTTAATGCCATCAATCCATATTTTCCGAGGTCTTCCACTCCCTCTATACCCATTGTAACATTTTAGCGTGGCTCGCCATGGCAGATAAGACCAGGGCATTCTTGTTAGGTGTCCAAACCACTTCATTTGTTGTTCTTTGATGACTTGTAAGACTGGCTTTATTCCTAGCATTCGTTTGATTTCATGATTTCGTATTCTGTCTTTCCTTGAAACTCCTGCAGCTCTTCTGAGGCATTTCATCTCTGTTGTCACAATTTTACGTTCATTGGAGGATGTAAGTGTCCACGTTTGGCTCATGTATAGTCAAACAATGAAATGTTTAAATTCTTCCTTCAAATCTCTAGGTAGTATGATGGTGACAAGAAAAAACATCAGACCCAAACACAAGACAATGAAACAATGACAGACTTAATCGGAGATAGGGAAACAATGTCAGATTCAGGTTGAAACCCTGTCAGGCTCAAACAGAGATGGGAAAACAATGTCAGACTCAAGCTGAAACACTGTCAGATTAAAAAAGATGCAAGGAAATTTTATCAGACACAACAAGGAAACAATATCAGACTCAGAAACAAGGAAACCATGTCAGACTCAAACAGAAACAATAACAAACTCAAAAATTTGACCTGATTGTGTGCATTTATTTTTTGTTTTTTAAATTAAGATTCAACATTATAACTTCACTTCTTCTTTTTCTTCTTCTTCTCCTTCTTCTTCTTTTATTGCAATTACCTCATTAAAGTGTAGAGGGGAGATATAAAGACCTTTTGAATGCTCTTTCAAATGCACTGTATAAATTTATTTTTATTTTCTTAGGTTTTTCGTGTTGCTATCATTTCATATTTTTGAGTGGTCTTCAACTTGTTCTGTGCCCTTTATACTTTTTTTTTTCAGTGTGGCTCTCTGTGGCAGTTGATACCAAAGGTTTCTGTCAAATGACCAAACTATCTCAACTGTTGTTCATTAATGAATTATATGTCTAATGTCATAAGGTGCAGGTACGCATCTTTCTATTAGCACACTGGTTGTAAATGCATTACAATGTTCTTCACCTACAACAATGATGGACATACAGAAGATAAGTGACAGTAACAGCCGTATACACACACTACTGTGACAACAATGGACATACAGAAGATAAGTGACAGTAACAGACGTATACACACACTACTGTGACAACAATGGACATACAGAAGATAAGTGACAGTAACAGACGTATACACACACTACTGTGACAACAATGGACATACAGAAGATAAGTGACAGTAACAGACGTATACACACACTACTGTGACAACAATGGACATACAGAAGATAAGTGACAGTAACAGACGTATACACACACTACTGTGACAACAATGGACATACAGAAGATAAGTGACAGTAACAGACGTATACACACACTACTGTGACAACAATGGACATACAGAAGATAAGTGACAGTAACAGACGTATACACACACTACTGTGACAACAATGGACATACAGAAGATAAGTGACAGTAACAGACGTATACACACACTACTGTGACAACAATGGACATACAGAAGATAAGTGACAGTAACAGACGTATACACACACTACTGTGATAACAATGGACACACTCACAGATCAAAGAGTACGTTGTGCTGGGGACACATGCCCAAGCCTTGACGAATATCATCAATGTCAGACACAATATCACGTCCATATATGTAGGCCGTGCCAGATGTTGGTGGGAACAGCCCCGTCAAAATGGACCTGCAAATCACCAGTTTGTTTAGATATTTTAAGTTCCTCATCAAGTGTGATTCTACATGTAAAGATATTTCTAATACTTCACATCCCTGCTAAAGATTTACAGTATCATTGTATATCATTTTATTATTATAATAATTTTAACAAATGCACCCTCGACTTGACTTATGACCTATGTGACTTAGACCAACCACATTTAATGTTGAATGTAGAATGTTGAATCAGGAATCCACATCACAGCACCCAGGACACTACCATAAGTGCTCATTCGCCATCTTCAGCAGCAAGCAAGGAGTTCCAATTCCGATGGTACCAGTAACTGTCTGTATTTTCGTCTCATCCTTCCCTTGAGCATTGGCCAGATCCCCTGGTAACATCTTGCAGCGCCATTCTTCTCAGACAATAATGATCCATCTGCACCTCTACACTGTTTACCCATTCCCAAAGGGCCCTTAACAATATCTAGCTTGTCATACATCAATTCACCAGGAAGTGTTGCAGAGTCAGCCAGTCTATCTGCCTGCTTATTTTCCAACACATCCGTATAACCTGGAGAAAATATCCAAAGGATGCTAACTACCCGGACCACATTTAAAATAATAGTAACTTCAGGTTGTATTTTTACATTAGAGTACATATTCTGTATTTTTCACATTATGTACACTAATTATGCGTACAAAAGAGTGAATTTTTGTATTTTAAGGGAAAGGATAGACTGAAAAAAGGCTTAACACTGTATTCAGTCATCCCCTTGTGGGATGGAATTTTTTTCATTATTTTGAAGCACCATCATGGCTTTTGCCAAGGGCAGCAGTATAGCCCGACCATAAATATGGTCTAATGGCTGAAAGCAGTTTCTGGGACCTCTCCACGGGTGATCCTCATCCACATGGTGGCACTTTGTGTCATCAGGTGTTTATCGCTTGTGTAAAATGTACTACTACTACAAGTCCCTCTAAAACTTCCTTCAGAGTCAGAATGCATCTGCCTCAGAGGTGAGGAATTAAAAATCTGCATACAAATAACTCTGATATGTGAAATGGATGCTCTGGAACAAGATTAAAGTCAAGTAGTGGACAAACAACCAGAACTTTCCACCAGAGTTTACAGCCAGGAAACGCTAAGAAGATAAAGAGCACGATTCTGCACAAGGATCTACTACATGATGAGAAAACAAAACTGCATCAATGAAGAAACGAGACAAGGAAAAAAAAAAACAATAACTAACATTGTGGTGGTCTTTCCAGCTCCGTTGTGTCCCAGGAACGATGTGATTTGATCCTCATAAAAATTAATGGTCAACCCGTCAACGGCTATTTTGTCTCCTCTGTTGTAAATCTTGCGCAGGTTTCTCACAGCCACACCCACTTTGTGATCTGTTGGATCTTTCTCAAAGTTTTCACTCAGATCTGTGGGCAAAAGAAAACAAAATGGACTAACAGGTCAGCGGGGTAAGAACATCATCTTGACAACAACTTTTTAAGCTAGTTGTGTGTCTTTGAATAGACATCGCAGAACCAAATCCAGCATTCTTGGGCTGTTTGTGAGTTTACTAGATAATTTAAAGTTCAATAATTTGCCACTGATTTCTAAACAGTCAGCTCTTGATACCGTTGCCGAAATCAACACAAGACGGTCTGCTGCCGAATCGCCTGCAGTTGGAATCAAAATCCGCCCCTCAGTATTATGAAGCGTGTTAACAATGCCTAAGCTGCAGATGACAACTTAACAACAAATACGAGTTGACTTAGCAGCCACACCAGGTTGAAATAACAGACCTAAGCTGACACAACAATGACACTATATTGGTTAAAAAACAGATGATTCTGATATAACATCATCAGACTGATAAGTGACATATGCAGACACTGGCAATGACAGATAAACAGTAGAGAATAACAGTGACAGACAACAAACCAGCAACAAACTGTACATACGGCAACAAACTGTACATACGGCAACAAACTGTACATACGGCAACAAACTGTACATACAGCAACAAACTGTACATACAGCAACAGACTGTACATACAGCAACAGACTGTACATACGGCAACAAACTGTACATACAGCAACAAACTGTACATACAGCAACAAACTGTACATACAGCAACAAACTGTACATACAGCAACAAACTGTACATACAGCAACAGACTGTACATACAGCAACAGACTGTACATACAGCAACAGACTGTACATACAGCAACAAACTATACATACAGCAACAAACTATACATACAGCAACAAACTATACATACAGCAACAAACTATACATACAGCAACAAACTTTACATACAGCAACAGACTGTACATACAGCAACAGACTGTACATACAGCAACAGACTGTACATACAGCAACAGACTGTACATATAGCAACAAACTATACATACAGCAACAAACTATACATACAGCAACAAACTATACATACAGCAACAAACTATACATACAGCAACAGACTGTACATACAGCAACAGACTGTACATACAGCAACAGACTGTACATACAGCAACAGACTGTACATACAGCAACAGACTGTACATACAGCAACAAACTATACATACAGCAACAGACTGTACATACAGCAACAAACTATACATACAGTAACAGACTGTACATACAGCAACAAACTGTACATACAGCAACAGACTGTACATACAGCAACAAACTATACATACAGCAACAAACTATACATACAGCAACAAACTATACATACAGCAACAAACTATACATACAGCAACAGACTGTACATACAGCAACAGACTGTACATACAGCAACAAACTATACATATAGCAACAAACTATACATACAGCAACAAACTATACATACAGCAACAAACTGTACATACAGCAACAAACTCTACATACGGCAACAAACTGTACAAGCAGCAACAAACTATACATAGAATAGTAACATTTACCTCGAATATCCTCAATGGAGATTTCAGAATCAACCTTGTGTGATTTCCTTCTGCGGGCAGTGGAGCCACACCAGTAAGACTTCTGGACAAAGAAGTACCACTTTCGAGGCATGCCAAACTGACCTGGACAAATTTACACGATAAACAGCAGGATCACATAGCAGCAACTTAATGTATCAAGGACAGAGAAATAATATGTAAATAGCTTGTCTGAATTCTGGGGCCCCATTTGTGGAGGGAGGGGGGGAATAACAGACCCATAGCTCCCCCTATAAGCATGTCATACAAGGTGACCAATGAGGGGTGTGCTGAAATCAGACGTGTCAGGCCAAAAAGTGCAAATATGGCGGTCTAACTGTAAATCTCAATTTTCGTGTCAACTGACCTTTTAATGGTAAAGGTAGAACAACAAAAAAAAGCAGAAGTTTCCCTGATCAATCCTGGCATTCATTATCATCATTCTATTGTGCCAAACACACTTCATATCTTCCTAATTTTTTTTTTCTTTTTCATTCTTTAAAATCGGGTCAGAACTCAATGGGTGATATGGTCAACATCACACTGGCTGCCTTTACTTCCAAGGACTTTACCTGGTACCCATTTTTGCCTGGGTCTACCTGGGAGACAAGAACATATTTTTTAAAGGAAAACAATCTGACACTGCAGATTCAAGCCTAAGACCTTTGGGTGGGAAAAGGAATGTCTAGTCCCTTCACCACTGTGACTTCCCACATCACACAGTGCTTGCAATCAACTACTCCATTCTATCGTATCATGAGCAATACTTTCTACACTGTGTATGAAATCCACAGCGGCACCTCTAGTCTCTCTCATCAACATTCATCACAGGGCTGGACATAATCACTTATTCCATCTCTTTGGTTCTTATTTCAGTACCTGTTCTGTTATCATTTCTCCACTTAAGTCTCAGCGTGCGTCCAATATATCACCATCTTCTTTCTCTTATGATTCTTGACACTAGTGGTTGTCTAGAAATAATACATCTTTTTCTTTTTCCTTTTCTTTTTGGATTTGAATGTTTAAAGTTCATCAATTTCCTAAGGCATTTGTCTTTTAACTCAAGGAACGCATCAAACGTTCACAGGTTACTGCCTATAAGCCCAATGAACGCATGATGCGCCGATTTTACGTCTCTCTTGACTACCCCTTGGGTCTGTGATGCTAAACCCTTTGGGATTTAAAGAGTTAATGCATTTCATTTTCATTTTCTTAGCGTTCACCAGCTGTAAACTCCGGCAGAAAGCTCTAGTTGTTCATCCGCTTCTGGACTTTGGTCCTGTTCCAGAACTTGAGTTTTGTATGCACATCCATTTAAAGAGATCTAGCTTATTTGTTGCTTTCTTGCCTTTTAGGCAGATGCACTCTGCTGTTTTTAAAGGAACCATTCCTAATTAGTCGCCTTGTATGAGATAGATGCTTGTTTGGGGGGGGAGGGGGGGGGGGGGGGGTTGGGGGTCTGCCAACCTCCACCCCAATTCTCCCCTCCCACACAAAATATGGTTCCGAAACACACACAGGGATTTTAATGCATTTAAAGAACATATAGTCAACATCTAACAAAGAACATAAATTCAACATTTAACAAAGAACATATTCTCACCAGGGAAGACAGCCTCAATGTACCAGGTGAGCAGCAGGTAAATCAGAGAGTCCAAGAACATCATGCCTATACATGCTCGCAGATTGAATGTGTCATCCACCATGGGGCTTTCTCCGATGTTGTGCCACTGGGCTCCTACGGTCTGCTCCTCGTACTGGGACAAGTAGCTGCATCCGTAACCCATGGCAATATTGGAGGACAGGCTCTGGGGACAAGTATACATCTTTACAAGAACACAATGTTGGAAGACAGGCTCTGGGGAAAGTATACATCTTTACAGGAACACAGTTTTTGAGGACAGGCTCTGGGGACAAGCATCCAACTTTACAGGAACACGATGTTGGAGGACAGGCTCTGGGGACAAGCATCCAACTTTACAGGAACACGATGTTGGAGGACAGGCTCTGGGGACAAGCATCCAACTTTACAGGAACACGATGTTGGAGGACAGGCTCTGGGGACAAGCATCCAACTTTACAGGAACACGATGTTGGAGGACAGGCTCTGGGGACAAGCATCCAACTTTACAGGAACATGATGTTGGAGAACAGGCTCTGGGGACAAGTATACATCTTTACAGGCACACAATATTGGAGGACAGGCTCTGGGGACAAGCATACATCTTTACATGAACACAATATTGGAGGACAGGCTCTGGGGACAAGTATACATCTTTACAGGCACACAATGTTGGAGGACAGGCTCTGGGGACAAGTATACAACTTTACATGAACACAATGTTGGAGGACAGGCTCTGGGGACAAGCATCCAACTTTACAGGAACACGATGTTGGAGGACAGGCTCTGGGGACAAGCATCCAACTTTACAGGCACACAATATTGGAGGACAGGCTCTGGGGACAAGCATACATCTTTACATGAACACAATATTGGAGGACAGGCTCTGGGGACAAGTATACATCTTTACAGGCACACAATGTTGGAGGACAGGCTCTGGGGACAAGTATACAACTTTACATGAACACAATGTTGGAGGACAGGCTCTGGGGACAAGTATACAACTTTACATGAACACAATGTTGGAGGACAGACTCTGGAGACAAGTATACAACTTTACATGAACACAATGTTGGAGGACAGGCTCTGGAGACAAGTATGCAACTTTACATGAACACAATGTTGGAGGACAGGCTCTGGGGACAAGTATGCAACTTTGCATGAACACAATGTTGGAGGACAGGCTCTGAAGACAAGTCTACATCTTTACAGGAACACGAAGTTGGAGGACTGGCTCTGGGGACAAGCATTCAACTTTACAGGAACACAATGGTGGAGGACAGGCTCTGAAGACAAGTATACATCTTTACAGGCACACAATGTTGGAGGACAGGCTCTGGGGACAAGCATCCAACTTTACAGGAACACAATGGTGGAGGACAGGCTCTGGGGACAAGCATCCAACTTTACAGGAACAATGTTGGAGGACAGGCTTTGAGGACAAGCATACAACTTTACAGGAACATTCATAGACTATGGTCACTCGCAACAAACCAGAAAAGAAAGCTAGAAACCATGGAAAGGAGATGTCTGAGAATGGCTGCAGAAGTGATCAGATGAGATAAGATTAGGATTGAGGTCACAAGAAAACATTAATGTTAGCATAGAACTAACTCTAAATTACATACAAAGACAGCAAATCAAATGGTTTGACTGCTTATGAAGCCATTTCATATAAGGCAAACATAAAAAGGTAAGAAGACATAGAGGAATAGACAGACCAAGAACAAGATGGAAAGATAACATCAAAGAAACTTGACAACTGTATGGTGTTACAATAATTATATAATTATAATAATGATGATAACTGTATGGTGTCATAATAACTCTATAATCATAATAATAACTGTGATAATTGTATGGTGTTACAGTAATCATATGGTGTTACAGTAATCATATGGTGTTACAGTAATCATATGGTGTTACAATAATTATATGGTGTTACAATAATGATATGGTTTTACAATAATTATCTCATGCAATGAAAAGATAAACAAAACATTAGATAAACTACATACAACCAGAATTCTGTCGGTGGTGGTGATATCATCCTCCCACTGCACCAGCTGGGTATATGGCAGGTACAGCACAAAGTAAATAAACCCTCCACACACGGCTGCCAGGTTGGCTTTCCCAAAGAAAACCGAAATCAGGAAACACTGGGAGATGGTTGACACTGTGAAGGCCAGCATGAAGACAAACACGACAGAGGGGTCGGAGTACTCTAAAACTTTGCCAGCCTGTGGACATAATAATTTTCTCCTTAGAAAATACAGTACACTTAAGCGTTATCAAAGAGTTAACTTCAATCTAGGTGCTGATGTCAATTACTGAATTCAGAATCAACATCACAGCATACATGGCAGACAGACAGATGCTCCGTCTTCTGCCTGCAGCATGTCTTAAGATGTAGGTGCTTTCCTGCAGCACAATGATAACATACATCTCATTATCTTCATCTCATACGTCACTCCTTACACCACATTCTTACACACTCAATTTCATCTAACCTCATGTTTTCTATCAGCATTCTTTCATAAATGATTTTCAGAATTCTCTTTTGTCCAGAACAAGAGTACCCACGTTTAAAGCCAAAAGAAAATGTGCTCTTAGTCCCTCGAACTCCTGCACATTCTAGACAGTATACCCATGTGATCCACATGATGATCAGATGAAGAACATTTGTCAATTAAAATCTGACAGTTTAAAATCAAGAGGATCAACTTCACTGCACTAGGTCCCTGTGTGGATTCTACGGCCTCATTTTGGAGAACATATAATAGACCCACTGTGGGTTTCCAGGACGCCATTTTGGAGAACACAGAATTAATACCACATTCCCCTCCCCCACACCAACAAGCATGTCAAAGGAAGCGACTAATTATGGTTGTTTCCTTCAAAATGGTGGTGGATCCCCATGAGAAGCAAGGGACCAACACTCTGTATACAAATAAGCCAGATCTGTAAAACAGATGTGCACGCAAAAGTCAAGTTCAAGAACAAGACCACAGTCCAGGTGTGGACAAACAACCAGAATTTTCCACCAGAGTTTACAGCTGGTGAATGCTAAGAAGAAGAAGACTGTACCAGGATGTAACCAATATGGCTTAGATTTGTCTTCACTGGCTGTCAACTCTGGTGGAAAGTTCTGGTTGTTCATCCACTTCAAAGGAAACACCCCTAAATAGTTGCTTCTTACAACAATGGGATCCCAGAATCCACATAGAAACAAGACAAGGGTTTGAAAGAGGTTAAGTGTGAGCAATAGTGTAAGGGCAATACTGTACTAGACACTTCTTGGAGGGTACCAGCACTTTTTTCAAACACAAAAGCCCTGGCCATAACAACAGCTACAAAAACTGATAATATAACTACTACAGCTAATAATAAGTATTCCTTTTTTCATGTACACAGACTGTAAACTCAGGTGAAAAGTTCTGGTTGTTCGTCCACCTCTGAACTGTAGTCTTGTTCCAGTTTTACACATCCAGTTTACAAATGTGACATATTTGTATGTAAACTGGTGGTTCCTTGCCTCTCAGGCTGGTGCACGCCAACTTCAACCGGTAAAGGTGGTGATCATACAATTACTACAGCTAACAAATACTGATACTAATAAAGCCAGCATGTGGTATGTGCTGCAGGAAGTCCCAAAAGTTTCCATACACAGGGCCAGATTGTGACCCGTACCATCAGTACTGGAACTCTGCGCTGGCTGCTGAAGATGAGGACTTAGTACACTTGGGAATGCCCCGAGTTCTGTGATGTCAATTCTTGACTCAATTCCACCCATACACAGGGCCACGGCAGATACAGGAAAGGCAATTAACTGGGCCAAAATTCTCAATGCTCTCAAGGAAGCAAGATGAGTAGATGATTCAGAAGATGATGTTGAATTGGCAACACTCAGAAGACTACAAGAACTTCAAGTCAAAAGAGGTGTCGCCAAACATGAACACTATATAAGTAACCAAAGAAGAATAGTAACCCAAACAGAAATGGTGTTAGGAGTTGCCACACGCTGACGGATATACTGAAGACAGGATCCGAGCGCTTATAGACTGGTTAGATGTGCAATAAGAATAATCTGTCGATTAACTACTTACTAACTAATTAACTAACAGAAGAAAAAATGTTTTTATGAAAACCATTGTTAGTTATATAATAAGCTCTACAGGACAACCACTGTTTTGAAAACACATTTCGGTGTGTATCCTCCACTGCTGAAAAACATACATAAAATAAAAACCAACGCAATATGGGATGCATATGGGTTTTTCTTAACCTGTTTTTGCTATGATGATTTTAACTCCCAAGTCTATCATTCTGGTGAGTGATGTGAATTCACTGCCCCCAAAGTCCTCCATCCTTCCCATTTCTCGGAGGGCATTAATGATATCAGCATGATCCATTGGTTGACATTTGGTAGGGATGGCGGATCCAGCCAACCTATCAGCTCTTTCATTTCCCTCAATGCCTGCTTATCCCAGAAAGAAAATAAAGGTGATTCCACACACAGTGGACTTCTGTAATGATTCAAGCCACTGCTTTCACACTGAACCTATTTGAACCCTTCGAATCATACTCACTGAATCACTGTGTGTACACACATGCGCGGGTGTAGTTTTGTGTTTCGAGCCATGTGAACGCTTGAATTACTGCCATCACCCTTATCGTTATGCTGCTGGTTGTCATGGAGAAAGCGCCATTGGCTTCTTTGACTGTTCTGCCCCCTGATCGTACTGTGAACGCCCATGCTCTTCTTTGCTGGCGTATAATGGATCCGTCTGTGTAGAACAGTACATCTGCCTCGTCTGAATTTTCACTGATGAGGGCATTGACCTCTGCTCTGAAAGCAACAGAATTCTGCTCTCTGCATAGCCTATCAAGTGTGACAAGTCAGGAAAATGTACAAATAAATGCACGAGGCACAGGTATCCACTCTGCACCACGGGCAATGTCGATTAGGCTGCAAATGTGCTTGGTAACATTTTTTGCCCAACCTAGCCATGATTTTCCTCTCTTCAGCCTGTCGCCCTTTTCACTGAAAAGCGCTTGATGCTTATGGGACATCCTGCATTAATTAAAGTGTAGGACGAAATCTCTATTCACAATATAGCAGTCAAGCATTTGCCTGTACCTTAAGAATGACAACGAAGAGGATAACTGTGATCATCATGACGACAAAGGCATTGATGAACCAGGCCACCCAGTGTACACCGTTTCCAAGTCCCATAATCTTCATGACTTCCTTCAGCCGCTGCTCTTTCTCATACACAACCCCTGCAACAATGTAAAAGCATCACACTGTAAATGTATCGGAGTGTCAATGCATCACAGTGTAAACCATCACACTGTAAATATACCACTGTGAATGTACCACAATATAAATGTATCACATTGTGAATGTACCACAGTCTAAATGTATCACAGGGTTAATGTATCACAGTGTAAATGTATAACAGGGTATATTTATCACACTGTAAATGTATCACAGTGTTAATGTATCATAGTGTTCATGTATCACAGGGTAAATGTATCACAGTGTAAATTTATCACAGTGTTAATGTATCACAGGGTTAATGTACCACAGGGTAATTGTATAACAATGAAAATGTATCACAGTATAAATATATCACAGTGTAAATGAATCACAGTGTAGACGTATCACACTGTAAATATTTGAATGTTAATGTATCATAACATGAATGTACCTCAGTGCAAATGTATAACAGCTGTAGATGTATCACACTGTTAAGATATCACAATGTAAATGTATCACAATGAGAATGTACCAGTGTAATCGTACCACAGGGTAAATGCATCACAGTGTAGAGATATCACACTGTAAATATATCATTGTAAATGTATCACAATGTAAATATATCACAGTGATGATGATATATAACAATATAAATGCATAATCTGAGTTTATCATAGTGTAACAGAGTAAGTGTAACAGAGTAAATGTACCACAATGTAAATGTATCACACTGTAAATGTACCACAATGTAAATGTACCACAAGGTAAAATATCACAATGTAAATATATCACAGTGCAAATGTATCAGAGTCATCAATGTGTCGCAAACATAGTCCTGCTGATTCTACCACACATCCGCCTGCAAATGTCAGTCATATTCATCTCTGTAAATCTGACATTGATTGGCACCTTTCCGTCTTTCCAGGCGATAGTGTTTTACTGGGCTATGAGGAGGCTTGGGACTCCTAGCAAGACCCGCCCAGGTTAAGATAAGTCTTCCACATTTCATCATAGGATTTCAGGAACGCTGTTGTCAACATGTGTGTTTACTCTGTTTCTTTGCAGACGCTCAACTCTCATCCTTTCGGCAATAATTTCTTCCTTCATTCTCATTCCCTTCCTGATGTGTCTCCTCCACAAAATTTGGTCCATGGCATTGTGTTTCAATGAGACATTTGACACTACTCAATATGTTTCAATGAGACATTTGACACTACTCAATATGTTTCAATGAGACATTTGACACTACTCAATATGTTTCAATGAGACATTTGACACTACTCAATATGTTTCAATGAGACATTTGACACTACTCAATATGTTTCAATGAGACATTTGACACTACTCAATATGTTTCAATGAGACATTTGACACTACTCAATATGTTTCAATGAGTCATTTGACACTACTCAATATGTTTCAATGAGACATTTGACACTACTCAATATGTTTCAATGAGACCTTTGACACTACTCAATATGTTTCAATGAGACATTTGACACTACTCAATATGTTTCAATGAGACATTTGACACTACTCAATATGTTTCAATGAGACATTTGACACTACTCAATATTCTTCTTCTTCTTTGCGTTCACCAGCTGTACACTCTGGTGTAAAGTTCTGGTTGTTCGTCCACTTCTGGACTGCAGTCCTGCTCCAGAACCTGAGTGTTGCGTGTGCATCAGTTTTACAGATCTGATTCAATTGAATGCAGACTGCTGGTTCCTTGCCTCTCAGGCAGATGCACTCCGACTTCAAAGGAAGCTCCCCAGTTAGTCGACTCTTACGACATGCTTTTGGGGAGGCAGTGGGTCTATTCTTGTTTTTCCCACAATAGGGCCCCGGAACCCACACGGGGGACTACTCAATATGTTTCAATGAGACATTTGACACTACTCAATATGTTTCAATGAGACCTTTGACACTACTCAATATGTTTCAATGAGTCATTTGACACTACTCAATATGTTTCAATGAGACATTTGACACTACTCAATATGTTTCAATGAGACATTTGACACTACTCAATATGTTTCAATGAGACATTTGACACTACTCAATATGTTTCAATGAGACATTTGACACTACTCAATATGTTTCAATGAGACATTTGACACTACTCAATATGTTTCAATGAGACATTTGACACTACTCAAACAAATATCAGCCATCTAGTGGATCTACTGATAGACTGAAGTTCTTGGGCACAATTCTAAAGCAGATTTTGTAACTGGTCTAAGACACCCCTATTCAATATTTCTACCCCAGTCTGTCAGCTGTTTACTTTAGACCTAATAAAGATAACACCCGACAAGTTGTCTACGAGAATCTGAAAGTTCTTTATCTCTGATCTACTACAAATGATAAAGGATCTACCACAGTCTGTCAACTGTTTACCTTTGATCTACTTAAAAATAACACCCGACAAGTTGTCTACAAGAATCTGAAAGTTCTTTATTTCTGATCTACTACAAATGATAAAGGATCTACCACAGTCTGTCAACTGTTTACCTTTGATCTACTTAAAAATAACACCCGACAAGTTGTCTACAAGAATCTGAAAGTTCTTTATCTCTGATCTACTACAAATGATAAAGGATCTACCACAGTCTGTCAACTGTTTACCTTTGATCTACTTAAAAATAACACCCGACAAGTTGTCTACGAGAATCTGAAAGTTCTTTATTTCTGATCTACTACAAATGATAAAGGATCTACCACAGTCTGTCAACTGTTTACCTTTGATCTACTTAAAAATAACACCCGACAAGTTGTCTACGAGAATCTGAAAGTTCTTTATCTCTGATCTACTAAAAATGGGACTAGTGTCTATCACAGTCTGTCAACTGTTTACTTTAGACCTAATAAAGATAACACCCCACAAGTTGTCTACAAGAATCTGAAAGTTCTTTATCTCTGATCTACTAAAAATAATACAAGTGTCGCCCACAGTCTGTCAACTGTTTACCTTTGATCTACTAAAAATAATACAAGTGTCGCCCACAGTCTGTCAACTGTTTACCTTTGATCTACTAAAAATAATACAAGTGTCGCCCACAGTCTGTCAACTGTTTACCTTTGATCTACTAAAAATAATACAAGTGTCGCCCACAGTCTGTCAACTGTTTACCTTTGATCTACTAAAAATAATACAAGTGTCGCCCACAGTCTGTCAACTGTTTACCTTTGATCTACTAAAAATAATACAAGTGTCGCCCACAGTCTGTCAACTGTTTACCTTTGATCTACTTAAAATAATACAAGTGTCGCCCACAGTCTGTCAACTGTTTACCTTTGATAATCATAGCCACAGTGTAGATCCAGGAAATGACCATAAACAGGGGCAGACTGCGAGATATGGCAAATGTAAATCTGAAATGGACCCAATGACAGCAATCAAATTTTAACATCATAATTTTTGAAAACTAGCACTAATAATGTTAACTCATGTGTTCCATAAATGCTTAAAAAATTGATAATTTCCAAGAAATAAAATTCCTTAAACAAATATATATATACATTACCCAGGTCATTAATAATTCTTTTTTTTTTTTTTAATCTACAATTTTAAAAACATTCAAAATATATACAGATATAACAAGAGGTAATCAATAAACACAAATTTTAGAAAACACAGTCTTAGGATGAATCTCTGGACCCATCAAAGATGCAAACAGCGGGGAATGGAGAGTCAGAAGCAGCAACAATATTCATAATCTGTTTAAATCACCATTGATCACTGGCATCATGACAGCTTATAGACTGAAATGGCTGGGGCATATTGACAGAATGTCATAGGTTAGAGAGATAAAACTGTATACACAAGGGAGATTAATAGTTGTAAACCATGAGGCAGACAAAGAAGATTTGCAGAGATAAAACCCAGACAGACCTGCAAACACTTGGTGTCACCAACTGTAAAGAGAAGGCCAACCAGAGTGATGAGTGGAGGCGGGTGATATTTGCAGTAATGAACGTCAAGCGCTCAGAATGCTGAAGAAGAAGAAGAAGAAGAAGAAGAAGAATCAATAAACATGAACAGAGTGAAGCAGTAAATGGAATACATTCTCTAGACTCTTAAAAAAAAAGCAATATGTATCCAGTGATTTATACTGTAACTCTGTGATCTCTATCCACTGTCCTACGGATAACATTACTTGTCACTCCAGAAATCATTTATTTTAGCTGTCAGAGACATTAGTTTATCTCTCCTGGGTATATCATTACTTGTCACAAACATAATTTCTACCTGTCGCAGACATACATTTATCTGTCACACACATAAAATTACTTGTCATAGACATAGCATCCATAAGGAAACTGGTGTGTGTAGACGCCTGGCTCCTGTGTGGTATTTGTGTGAAGTCGAATGATGGCATGGTCAATCATATCCTGGATGTAAATGAAGCCAAAGACCCAGTACTTGAGAGAACCCAGTCCATCTCTGTTGCCTGGACGCCAGTACCTGTGTCAATCAAAAGACAACCATGGTGTTTTATTCTGTAGACTTCAGGGACATTCTATTTCTTTCCTTCTTTGTGTTGTAAACTCTGGCAGAAGGTTCTGCTTGCTCACCCACTCCTAGACGTAGAGTGGGGTGAGATAGACAAGACAGCAGAGAAAGAGGTAGACAGAGATCGAGCTGAAGCACACAGAGACAGGAATAAAGCAAAGACAGCAAAAAGGAGATTTTTTTTTTATTTTGTATTTTTTAGTTGTGTATCCTTTACAGGACATTGCAGAACCAACCCCAGCACTTTCTGGCTGTGTGGTTTTTCTAGGCAAATTTACGTCTAGTAGTTTTCCATTGCCCTCTGGACGGTGGGCTCTCGGTATGACTGTTGAAACCAGCGCAAGACGAACCATTCGCAGCAGGGATCAAACCTGGCACCCCGGAATTACAAAACGCGTTCGCAACGCTTAAGCCACAGACGCCGGGGAGAGAGACAGGCAGAGCTGAGAGACAGGCAGAGCTGAGAGACAGGCAGAGCTGAGAGACAGAGTGAAGACAGAAACAGAGATAGAAAATTGGGGGGGGGGGGGGGGGAGACAGGCAGAGCTGAGAGACAGTGAGGACCGAAACAGAGATAGAACATGGGGGAGAGAGACAGGCAGAGCTGAGAGACAGTGAGGACCGAAACAGAGATAGAACATGGGGGAGAGAGACAGGCAGAGCTGAGAGACAGTGAGGACCGAAACAGAGATAGAACATGGGGGAGAGAGACAGGCAGAGCTGAGAGACAGTGAGGACCGAAACAGAGATAGAACATGGGGAGAGAGACAGGCAGAGCTGAGAGACAGTGAGGACCGAAACAGAGATAGAACATCGGGGGGGGGGAAAGACAGGCAGAGTTGAGACACAGAGGTGAGACTAAACAGCTAAAATAAGAAGCAACTCTAAAACATTCAGAAGTAAAGCAAATGTTTGCTCTATTTATCATTACATATTCTTCAGAATATCTTGATATGTTCTTTTCATCCTTGCATAAACTCATTAACATCACGACAACATACACAGACTTGTAAGCCATTTCACAAGATTTCAAGTTATAAAGTTAGGCTACTCTTAAATACTGGGTGCTAAGTAGGTACTTTGATGTAATGGGATATTATAGCTATATGGTGCCCTTATGTTTAGATGAATCAACGTATGGGTGAGAGCAGAGCCGCAGTGGAATAGCGGCTAGATGTTCCACCTGCCGGACTGAAGGTGGTTGATCTAGTACATCGAGTCTTTTTCTTCTTCTTCTTCTCCTCCTCCTCCACCTTGTACCTCAGCAAAGTGTCAGGGGGAGATGTAACATTCCTTGATGAGCTCTGTCAAGAGCACTATTAAGACTGATGTTCGCTGGTCCTTTACTTATAGCATATTAGCACCATGTTTCTATTTATCATAAACACAGTGATAAGTGTATGTGTGTATGCAGTGTGTGTATGCAGTGTGTGTATATATATGCAGTGTGTGTGTGTATGCAGTGTGTGTGTGTGTGTGTGTGTATGCAGTGTGTGTGTATGCAGTGTGTGTATGCAGTGTGTGTATGCAGCATGTGTGTAGGCAGTGTGTGTATGCAATGTGTGTATGCAGTGTGTGTGTATGCAGTGTGTGTGTGTGTATAGTGTATGTGGGTATGAAATGTGTGTGGATGCAGTGTGTGTGTGTATGCAGTGTGTGTATGCAGTGTATGTGTGTGTGCAGTGTGTGTGTGTATGCAGTGTGTGTGTTTATGCAGTGTGTGTGTGTGTGTATGCAGTGTGTGTGAATGCAGTGTGTATGTGTGTATATATACAGTGTATGTGTGTATACAGTGTATTTGTGTATGCAGTGTATGTGTGTATGCAATGTGTGTGTGTATGCAGTGTGTGTATGCAGTGTGTGTGTGTATGCAGTGTGTGTGTATGCAGTGTGTGTGTATGCAGTGTATGCAGTGTGTGTGTGTATGCAGTGTGTGTGCGTCCATGCAGTGTGTGTGTGCATGCAGTGTGTGTGTGTGCATGCAGTGTGTGTGTGCATGCAGTGTATGTGTGCATGCAGTGTATGTGTGTATGCAGTGTGTGTGTGTATGCAATGTATGTGTGTATGCAGTGTGAGTGTGTATGCAGTGTATGTGTGTATATGCAGTGTATGTGTGTATGCAGTGTATTTGTATGCAATGTGTGTGTGTATATGCAGTGTATGTGTGTATGCAGTGTGTGTGTATGCAGTGTATGTGTGTATGCAGTGTATGTGTGTATGCAGTGTATGTGTGTATGCAGTGTATGTGTTATGCAGTATATGTGTGTATGCAGTGTGTGTGTGTGTGTGTATGCAGTGTATGTGTGTATGTAGTGTGTGTGTATATATTCAGTGTATGTGTGTATGCAGTGTGTGTGTGTGTGTATGCAGTGTATGTGTGTATGCAGTGTGTGTGTGTATATATTCAGTATAAGTGTGTATGCAGTGTGTGTGTGTATGCAGTGTATGTGTGTATGTAGTATGTGTGTGTGTATATTCAGTGTATGTGTGTATGTAGTGTGTGTGTGTATGCAGTGTATGTGTGTATGCAGTGTGTGTGTGTATGCAGTGTATGTGTGTATGCAGTGTGTGTGTGTATATTCAGTGTATGTGTGTATGCAGTGTGTGTGTGTATATTCAGTGTATGTGTGTATGCAGTGTACGTGCATATGCAGTGTACGTGTATATGCAGTGTACGTGTGTATGCGTGTATGTAGTGTGTGTGTGTGTGTATTCAGTGTATTTGTGTATGTAGTGTGTGTGTGTGTGTGTGTGTGTGTATGCAGTGTACGTGTATATGCAGTGTACGTGTATATTCAGTGTATGTGTGTATGCAGTGTGTGTGTATATTCAGTGTATGTGTGTATGTAGTGTGTGTGAATCCTAAAATTAGCTGTGCTATACACCCTAACCTTACAGAGGAGTGGCTGCTGACTGGTTCAGAATGCTGGACTCTCATGCAGAAAATGGCAAAAATATGTGGGTTGTTTTTTTTAACCTAACAAATTTGTTTGTGATGTGTGAAGCAAGTGTGTGTGTGTGGGTATGGGGTGTGGCAGGGTGGCGGGGTAACAGAAAATTCTTCCACACCCGGTACCACATGACCTTGCTATGCCACATGCCCCAGAGATCCCCTCAGACACCCAAAACCATCAAACAATAGAGAAGGCATGGAAAGTAAACTGACAAGAAACAAAAGTACCCCCCCCCCCCCCCCCCCCCCAAACTTTAACACACACAAAAGACTAAAACAAATCATAATTCACACCATGTTCATGCACCAATAAGAAACAGATTTTTAAAAAGCATGCAGTACTTACATACTGTCTTGAATTTCCAACACTAGTTTCATAGTTCAAATTAGTATTGTTTGTTTCTCTCTCTCTCTCTCTCTCTCTCTCTCTCTCTCTCTCTCTCTCTCTCTCTCTCTCTCTCTCTCTCTCTCTTGTCCTTTCTCTCCCTCCCTCTCTCTCTCTCTCTCTCTCTCTCTCTCTCTCTCTCTCTCTCTCTCTCTCTCTCTCTCTCTCTCTCTCTCTCTCTCTCTCTCTCTCCTGTCCTTTCTCTCCCTCTCTCTTTCTATTTTACCTCTCTCCCATCTGTTAAATCTCTCCCTCTTTTTTTTAAGTTATCTTTCTCCCACACATTTATTCCTCATGTGTTCTTACAGACCACTATAGACTGTATTAATGAAGACAGTCAATCAAACAGTCAAGATAATAGGTAATAGTATCAGGATAAGATAGTGACAGCAAGTCATGACACTGACAAAAGTGTGACAGTCAAGATACTGATAACAACCTCAAACATAATTTACAAACAACTCTTCGCCTGTGATTTTTCAAGCACACATCACTTATATGCCAATCAATCACTGTGATCTTCCAATCACACATCACTTATATGTCAATTATTCACTGTGATCTTCCAATCCAAAATCACTTATATGCCAATCATTCACTGTGATCTTCCAATCACACATCACTTTTATGCCAGTCATTCACTGTGATCTTCCAATCACACATCACTTTTATGCCAGTCGGTCACTGTGATCTTCCAATCACACATCACTTTTATGCCAGTCAATCACTGTGATCTTACAATCACACATCACTTATATGCCAGTCAATCACTGTGATCTTCCAATCACACATCACTTATATGCCAGTCAATCACTGTGATCTTCCAATCACACATCACTTATATGCCAGTCAATCACTGTGATCTTCCAATCACACATCACTTATATGCCAGTCAATCACTGTGATCTTCCAATCACACATCACTTTTATGCCAGTCGGTCACTGTGATCTTCCAATCACACATCACTTTTATGCCAGTCAATCACTGTGATCTTCCAATCACACATCACTTATATGCCAGTCAATCACTGTGATCTTCCAATCACACATCACTTATATGCCAGTCAATCACTGTGATCTTCCAATCACACATCACTTTTATGCCAGTCAATCACTGTGATCTTCCAATCACACATCACTTATATGCCAGTCAATCACTGTGATCTTCCAATCACACATCACTTTTATGCCAGTCGGTCACTGTGATCTTCCAATCACACATCACTTATATGCCAGTCAATCACTGTGATCTTCCAATCACACATCCCTTATATGCCAGTCAATCACTGTGATCTTCCAATCACACATCACTTTTATGCCAGTCAATCACTGTGATCTTCCAATCACACATCACTTATATGCCAGTCAATCACTGTGATCTTCCAATCACACATCACTTATTAAGAACACATTAATAGACTTCACTCAGAATGTGACAACAACGATACGAAGATCAAACGTAGACAAAACAGAAGTGATGACTTTCTCCAGAAAAAGTACCACCAATATCAAAACTGATGAATATCAATTAAAGCAGGCAAAGGATTTTACATATCTGGGAAGCATTTTTTTTTCAGAATATGGAAGAATGAATCAAGAAAATCCAGCAAAGATGCAATAAAGCCAATTAAGTTTTAGGCCAAATGGCACCAATTTTGAAATGCAAGCATGTGAATATGAATACTAAAAGAACACTGTTAAACACAATATTCTTATCAATGTCAAGCATGGACACTGTATTCAGAAGACAAAAGGAAAATAGTAACGACAGAAGTGAAAAGTTTACTCACTATGCTAGGTGTAACGGGGAAAGATCGACTTAGGAGCGATGATATCTTGAGAAGGCAGACAACAAATCAAATGGTTTGGCCATGTAACAAGATTGGCAGCAGACAGGGCCCCACAGAGAGCAATGTTATACAGATACAGTGGTAACAGACCCAGAGGTCGACCATGCAGAAGATGGACTGCAGAAATTTCAGAGACACTGAAAAGACTATATAAAAATCAAACAGAAGTGCCCGTTCCAAAGACCTCTTCTTGTCCTGACGCTGCGAGGCATTCCAGGAGTAGAGAAAAGAAGAAGAAGAAGAAGAAGATGAAAGAAGTGGCTCGATCAATGAAACATCAACACTTACTTGTCCATGATTCTTTTGGTGCTGTCTACTTTGTCTGTATCCATGTGAATACTATATTTGACAAGAGTTGGAAGGTTAACATCATCCTCATGGAATCCATCAAAGGAAATGGCTGGAAAAGCACAGGTGTCCTAGTTAGTGAATTGCAAGTATTATCATGCAAGTATTAGCATGCAAGTATTTGTATGCAAGTATTAGCATGCACGTATTCTCATGCAAGTATGAAACTAATGTCATGCAAATGAAAAACACTCACTTGCTTGCAACCCGCTTTGTGCCATCCACCTTATCTGAATCCATTCGGATTCTGTATTTGACCAAACTGGGAATGCACTTATCAGTTTGTGCCATATTGTCAAACACAACGGCTGTAACATAATTATTTCAATTAACACCAGCAAGAAGATGGTCTCCCACTGAACAACTTACAGAGATTGTCACAATCAATAGCACTGTTCCACTAATTACTGTGACTATCACAGAGTCAACAGTCCCTTGTCAACAACTATCAGAGATTGTCACAGAGTCAACAGCCTTGGTCAACAACTAACAGAGACTGTCACAGAGCTGACAGTCCCTTGTCAATAACTTACAGAATGTCAGTGAAATCAAGACCCCAAACACATTACCTTCAGAGTTTGTAAGAGAGTTTGCAGCCCTAATCACACAACTTATAGAGATTATCATAGAGTTTTCAGCAGCATTAATCACACACCTTAAAGAGACTATCACTGAGTTTGCTGCCGTAATCACACAACTTATAGAGAGTATTGTAGAGTTTGCAGCCTTAATCGCACAACTTATAGAGATTATCAAAGAGATTGCAGCAGCCCTAATCAAACAGCTTATAGAAATTATCACAGAGTTTTCAACAGCCTTAATCACACAATTTATTGAGACTATCATTGAGTTTGCTGTCGTAATCACTCAACATAGATTATTATTGAGTTTGCAGCCCTAATCACACAACATAGAGATTATCATAGAGTTTGCTGCCATAATCACTCAACTTATACAGATTTTTATAGAGTTTGCCGCCCTAACCACACAACTTATAGAGATTATTATAGAGTTTGCAGCCCTAATCACACAACTTATAGAGATTATATAAAGTTTGCAGCCCTAATCACAAAACTTATAGAGATTTTATAGAGTTTGCAGCCCTAATCACACAACTTATGGAGATTATATAGAGTTTGCAGCCCTAATCACACAACTTATGGAGATTAAATAGAGTTTTCAGCCCTAACCACACAACTTATGGAGATTATATAGAGTTTGCAGCGCTAACCAAACAACTTATGGAGATTATATAGAGTTTGCAGCCCTAACCAGACAACTTATGGAGATTATATAGAGTTTGCAGCCCTAACCGCACAACTTATGGAGATTATATAGAGTTTGCAGCCCTAACCACACAACTTATGGAGATTATATAGAGTTTGCAGCCCTAACCACCCAACTTATGGAGATTATATAGAGTTTGCAGCCCTAACCACACAACTTATGGAGATTATATAGAGTTTGCAGCGCTAACCAGACAACTTATGGAGATTATATAGAGTTTGCAGCCCTAACCAGACAACTTATGGAGATTATATAGAGTTTGCAGCCCTAATCACACAACTTATAGAGATTATTATAGTTTGCAGCCCTAATCACCCAACTTATGGAGATTATAAAGAGTTTGCAGCCCTAATCACACAACTTATACAGATTATCAAAGAGATTGCAGCAGCCCTTATCACACATCTTACAGAGATTAAAAAAGTGTTTGCAGCCCTAACCAAACAACTTATGGAGATTATAAAGAGTTTGCAGCCCTAATCACACAACTTATGGAGATTATAAAGAGTTTGCAGCCCTAACCACCCAACTTATGGAGATTATAAAGAGTTTGCAGCCCTAATCACCCAACTTATGGAGATTATAAAGAGTTTCCAGCCCTAATCACCCAACTTATGGAGATTTTATGAGTTTGCAGCCCTAATCACACAACTTATACAGATTATCAAAGAGATTGCAGCAGCCCTAATCACACAACTTATGGAGATTATCAAAGAGATAGCAGCAGCCCTAATCACCCAACTTATAAAGACTATTGTAGAGTTTGCAGCCCTAATCGCACAACTTATACAGATTATCAAAGAGATTGCAGCAGCCCTAATCACCCAACTTATGGAGATTATATAGAGTTTGCAGCCCTAACCACACAACTTATGGAGATTATATAGAGTTTGCAGCCCTAACCACACAACTTATGGAGATTATATAGAGTTTGCAGCCCTAACCACCCAACTTATGGAGATTATATAGAGTTTGCAGCCCTAACCACACAACTTATGGAGATTATATAGAGTTTGCAGCGCTAACCAGACAACTTATGGAGATTATATAGAGTTTGCAGCCCTAACCAGACAACTTATGGAGATTATATAGAGTTTGCAGCCCTAATCACACAACTTATAGAGATTATTATAGTTTGCAGCCCTAATCACCCAACTTATGGAGATTATAAAGAGTTTGCAGCCCTAATCACACAACTTATACAGATTATCAAAGAGATTGCAGCAGCCCTTATCACACATCTTACAGAGATTAAAAAAGTGTTTGCAGCCCTAACCAAACAACTTATGGAGATTATAAAGAGTTTGCAGCCCTAATCACACAACTTATGGAGATTATAAAGAGTTTGCAGCCCTAACCACCCAACTTATGGAGATTATAAAGAGTTTGCAGCCCTAATCACCCAACTTATGGAGATTATATAGAGTTTGCAGCCCTAATCACCCAACTTATGGAGATTTTAAAGAGTTTGCAGCCCTACATCACACAACTTATACAGATTATCAAAGAGATTGCAGGAGCCCTAATCACACAACTTATAGAGACTGTCCCTGAGTGAACAGCCCTTTGCCTTCATCTTACAGACATTGTCACTGTGTGGGTTTCCAGGCCCCTCTAGGTGCGAGGGGAGAGGGAAGCACATCATAAAAGGCTTCAAACTAGGGTTTTTACTTAAATCGGATGTGTTGGGTTTGTGAGATGGCAGAAATCAGCCTAGCTGTAAACTGCAATATATATATCAAACACTTTTAAAGTGCAGATATGGAAGAAGGATAATGTACGTTCATCTGGGTAAAGATTCAACATCACAGCTTTTAGGACAAGCCTATATTAGCTCCTCTACCTCCTCAACAGACAGCGAACAGTTTCCATACTAATGGCACCCGTTGTCTTTTCCATTTGCATCATCCTCCTGAACGTCAGCGATTTCCTCTCAGTGAACCAATGTTCAATTTCTTCATCTTCTTCTTCTTCAGCACTCTGAGCCCATGAGGTTCACAGCTGCAGATATCACCCGCCTCCACTCATTTCTCTGGTTGGCCTTCTCTTTCCAGTTGGTGACACCATTATCTCTCCATCATCTTCTTGGTCTGCCTCGTGGTCTACGACCCTTCACCTCCATTGTGTATACAGTTTTTACCTCGCTGTCATCTGACATTCTTTCAATATGCCACAACCATTTCAATCTATTAGCTCTCATGATGCCGATGATCAATGGTGATTTAAACAGATTATGAATTTTCATGTTCAATTTACCACAGGCTAAATAAATAGACTGCAGTTCTGGAGGATAGTATTGTCTCATCTTTTATGAGTGGCGATTATGAGCAACAGTAAAGGACATGTTCATTTGAGCTATCTGCAAGTACACAGGGATCAAAACTACAAGGTGTGTTATTATGATCGGGTATACAATGGGAGTTGCATTGGCATACACAAAGAGAACTATACTATCTTGAGCAGGTATACAATGAGAACTGTACTGCCATATACAATCTGATTTGGACTACCATGAGCAGGTGTACAATGAGAACTGTACTGCCATGACAGGTATACAATGAGAACTGTACTTCTGTATACAATGAGAATTAAACTTCCATGAGCAAGTGGTATACAATGAGAACTGTACTTCTGTATACAATGAGAATTGTACTGCCATGAGCAGGTATACAATGAGAACTGTACTTCTGTATACAATGAGAATTGTACTGCCATGAGCAGGTATACAATGAGAACTGTACTTCTGTATACAATGAGAATTGTACTGCCATGAGCAGGTATACAATAAGAACTGTACTTCTGTATACAATGAGAATCGTACTGCCATGAAGAACTGTACTTCTGTATACATTGAGAATTAAACTTCCATGAGCAGGTGGTATACAATGAGAACTGTACTTCTGTATACAATGAGAATCGTACTGCCATAACAGGTATACAATGAGAACTGTACTTCTGTATACAATGAGAATTGTACTGCCATGAGAACTGTACTTCTGTATAAAATGAGAACTGTACTTCTGTATACAATGAGAACTGTACTTCTGTATACAATGAAAACTGTACTTCTGTATACAATCAGAATTGTACTTCTGTATACAATGACAAAATGCTTTATACAATGAGAACTGTACTGCCATGAGCAGGTATAAATCACATGAACACCACACATCAAATGACGCACAGATACAAATGTCTACCTGACCAAAACGTGTTATTCTCAATGCTCCCCAGGCTGTTTTCAATAAGCGCAGATGAGTCTCGGAAACCCTTGAATTTATCCAAGTTGATGCACTGAAATGTTATATATACATTTATATGTAAAATGGGAAAACTATACAGATGAGGACAAGCTAAAGAACTATCATATGGGTGAGAGTTTTGACAGTGATGAGGTGTTTTCTGGATTCTATGATGAATAAAACATGAGTTCAATAACTTTATGTAATCACATTTATTTTTCCTCAAAATTTCTTCATAAATTTATTATGACATTACAATGAACCTCAAAAAAAAATGTGTTTTTTCAACACAAATAAAATCTCACCAAAAAAAAAAAACTTGTTTTGGGAACTATAAATGTACCCACCATGTATTGCAACCAGTATCAAAGCTGTTATATATAGGCTTATTAGCCGCTGCCCAAAGATGTCATTCATTTTCTTCTTCTTGGCATTAACCAGCTGTAAACTCCTGCAGAAAGTTCTGGTTGTTCGCCCACTTCTGGACTGCAGCCCTGTTTCAAAACAAAGTGGTGGGGTGCATCCATTTGAAAGATCTTACTTTTGTGTGTGCAGACTGTTGGTTCCTTGCCTTTCAGGCAGATGCACTGTGACTTGAAAGGAAGCTCCTAATTAGTCGACTCTTACGACATGCTTTTAGGGTCTATTCTTGTTTTCCCTATATCAGGACCCTGGAACCCACACAGGGAAACATCATTATCGAAAACCCATAAAAGTCTGAAAACTGGCTTTCTCAGAGCGACTTGGCTATGTGACTTACCTTGAAGTAAGTCCTGACAGTTGATAACATCGTGTATGTTTCATTGAGTGCCTGTTGCCATGTGTATGAGTCCGAGGATGCATTGAGTCCTAGAAAACTAGCTATTCTGTCACATAAAGACTCGTTGATGTTGGCCACAATACTCTCCAGCTGTGAGGGCAGTCTTAGCGTCTTTATGATGTAAATTGTGTTTTTGCAGACTGGACTTCCAAAAAAGTTCTGCAATTATATTTTATGATTATTTAAAACAAAATGAAATGAGACAAATAACAGGATCTTTGTTTAATAATATCTCAGACTAGGATCTTTGTTCAAACATTTCAGCGACTAGGATGTGTTAAAACATTTAAGTCCCAAAATAGAAACCCAATTTGGCACAATAATCACAGTGTAAAAAGCATCAGGGTATGACTTTTCAGAGATACATTATATACTTACTGAGCTTATTTTTAAATATTTGGCCAGATTTCTTTTGTCCACCCTACCAAACACAAAATCCATCATTGACTACGCCATAGTAAGGAAAAGTTCATTCAGGTTTGTGAGAGATGTCAGAGTCACAAGAGAACCAGAGATTGGAAGTGACCACTGTCTGGTCACAATAAAGAGAACAAGTCAAAGAACTGCTCCAACAAGGCAACACCGACAACCATGCAAGAAACCAAGCAACCGAGAAGGAATGAGGATTTAGGCATACAAGCTAAGAGAGCCAAGCTAGATACCAGGAGCTTATAATAAAAGTAATAGGAACTGAAGAAGAACCATCAGAGGACACTGAAACGCTCTGGTGCAGATTCAAGAATATCCTCACAGCAGCTGCAGTAGAAGCATTTGGTAAAGTCCCAAGTAGAAGGCGAGGACAAAGGACACCTTTGTGGACGGAAGAAGTCAAATTGAAAATAAGAGAAAAGAAAAGGGCATGGAAGCAATACCTGGCAGCCAGGAACACAGCTAAAGAAACAGAGAAATATAAACAATGTGTGGCACTCAAAACAGGCCAAAAATATAGTGCTTAATACAAAACATAAATCATGGGAAGAATTTGGAGAAAGGTTAAAAAAAAAAGGCAAGAGAAAATCAAAAACTGTTCTACAAGACCCTCAAGAACACGAGGAAGGAGAAAGAGTGCCCGCTGAAATTTATAAAAGACAAGGAAGGGGCTCTGCTTACTTCTACAAATAATATCATGGGCTAATGGAGAGAATGCTTCTCAGAGCTTATTTGTGTTGAGGAAAGTCATGTCCTAGAAATAATGGACCTTACTACTGAGAAGGAAATCATCCATGGGGATGATAACATCAGGATGGAAGAACTGAAGGCAGCTATTGAGAAGATTAAGCTGGGGAAGCAGCAGGACATGATGATATAACACCAGAGATGGTCAAATATATGGGAGTAGCAGGTTAGCGCCTTCTAATGAAGGTTCTCCAGGCAGCCTGGTTTAGCAAAACTATACCAAAAGACGGGGAGATTGCCATCATTATACGTATATTTAAAAAGGGTGGTAACAGATAATGTGAAAATCCCTGAGGCATATCCATCCTCAGCGTTCCTGGTAAAAGTTACTCTAGAATTCTCGAGGAAAAGTCTTGGCAGAGCCACAGCTTGATCAGGCCCAGGGCAGCTTCAGAGCAAACCGAAGTACTCAAGACCTTATCTTCACACTGAGACAGATGAGTGAAAAAGCCCTTGAATATAACATAACAGTGAGATGCACCTGTATTTTTGGGAATCTAGAAAAGGCATATGATAAGGTATCCTGAAGCAAGCTCTGGGGCTGCTTGGCAGGAAAAAAAACATCCCAGCACGCCTAATCAGTGCAATACAGAGTTTCTACAAAAGCTGCAGTATGTAAGAACAGCAGACCAAAAGTTGGAAGAATTTAAGACCACTAGAAGCGTTAGACAAGGTGATATTCTCTCACCTTACCTCTTCATTATTATGATGGATGATGTGATCAAGACCTGTAAGGAGAAGACAAACAAAGAAGTACTCAGTAGGATACTGGAAGATGAGCATAAAATAGGTACAAGTAAATCTTCACCCCAGGTATTTTTTTTTAAAGTCATTAATTTTTTTTTTAAATGTATTTGCATGAATCACAGGAAGCACACTCAAACAGTGTCATTACCCTGATGGCAGTGGTGTTAGTCTCCAAAAACTGTTGGACCTGGGGTAGAAAGTCATGGAGGCTGTCTACCAGAGCAAACACTTGACCTATGGAGTCAAATGTTCTGTTTGCCTGCAAAAATACATACAATTAAAATGCTGAATGTTGAATTAAAATTCGACATCACAGTACTCGGGACATTCCTATTATATATGATGACAACTGATTGATAAGGCTAGATGACGAACAATCAGGAAGATATAAAATAAATGGAATAAAATAAGCACAACCAAACTAAACATTCTAAAGACATACAAGTAAATATTGAATAAGATAAGAACAACCAAACTAAACATTCTAGAAGACAAACAAGTAAATGGATAAGATAAGAACAACCAAACTAAACATTCTAGAAGATATACAAGTAAATGTTGGATAAGTAAGATAAGAAGACCCAAACTAAACATTCTAGAAGACATACAAGTAAATGTAGGATATCTTCATCTTCTTCTTTTGCATTCATCATCTGTAAACTTGGCGGAAAGTTCTGTTTGTTCATCCACTTCTGGACTTTGGTCTTGTTCCACAACTTAAGTTTTGCATGCAAATCCATCTTACAGATCTGGCTTATTCATTAGCAGACTGCTGGTGCCTCCTCATCTCTCAGGCAGATGTACAAAAAACTCTGAAGGAAACACCCCCAATCAGACAGCTTGTATGACATGCTTGTTAGTGGGGCAGCGGGTCTATTCTTTTTTTTAATCCTCCCACTATGGGGCCCTGGAACCCACACAGGGAATGTTGGATGTGACAACAATACTGAACAATCTGGGAGACATACAAGTAAATTTTGGATAAGACAAGCATAACAATGAACAATCTGAAAGATATACAAGTAAATGTTGGATATGAGTACAACAAAAATGAACAATTTGGAAGATACACAATTGAATGATGGATTAGGCAAGACTACCAACAGTGAGTGGTCTACATGATGCACAATTAAATGATGGATAAGAACACTGGGTCCTGTTCACGATTCCGGGCTCAGGATTAGAGTAACCTCCCTTGCCATAGAAGAGGTCCAGCGACCTAAGGAGGCATGAATAGCAAGGGAAGTTACTCTAATCCTGGGCCTGGACAGCACCGAGCACTGAACAGTCAGGCTTACTTCATGGATAATTCTTTTGGTAGCTGCTGTTTCAGGAGCATAGTTGATGACCCCAAGAATCACAGGTTCCAACTGGTTCCAGAGAACTTTGGTCATCTTTTCATTCTGGAAGCTTGCAAACACTGCAGCACATTCTGTGGCTGGATATTGGTCAGAGAATAAAATATATCTACTGTGGGTCATCATCTACAAAAACTCTCTCTCTCTCTCTCTCTGTCTCTCTCTCTCTCTCTCTCTCATGTACATACATAGTTATATAGACAAATCATAATACATGGGGGACATGTGAAAGTTGGTGTATGGAGGGACATGTGAAAGTTGGTGTATGGAGAGAAATGTGCAAGTTGGTGTATGGAGGGACATGTGAAAGTTGGTGTATGGAGGGACATGTGCAAGTTGGTGTATGGAGGGACATGTGAAAGTTGGTGTATGGAGGAGCATGTGAAATTTGGTGTATGGAGGGACATGTGAAAGTTGGTGTATGGAGGGACATGTGAAAGTTGGTGTTTGGAGGGACATGTGAAAGTTGGTGTATGGAGGGACATGTGAAAGTTGGTGTATGGAGGGACATGTGCAAGTTGGTGTATGGAGGGACATGTGAAAGTTGGTGTATGGAGGAGCATGTGAAATTTGGTGTATGAGCAATGTTGGTGTATGGAGGGACATGTCAAAGTTGGTGTATGGAGGAGCATGTGAAATTTGGTGTATGGAGGGACATGTGAAAGCTGGTGTATGGAGGGAGGGACATGTGAAAGTTGGTGTATGGAGGGAAGGACATGTGAAAGCTGGTGTATGGAGGGAGGGACATGTGAAAGTTGGTGTAGGGAGGGAGGAACATGTGAAAGTTGGTGTATGGAGGGAGGAACATGTGAAAGCTGGTGTATGGAGGGAGGGACATGTGAAAATTGGTGTAGGGAGGGACATGTGAAAGTTGGTGTATGGAGGAATCTGAAATTAATATATGGGGATATGTAAAAGTGAGTATACGGCTAAATGTAATTTCTGTATAAGCTTAAGTTAAAGTTCACGTAAGCGGACATGTGAATAATACTGTACATGTGAAAGTTAGGAGCTGCAGCATCATAGTGGCCAAATGCTTGCCTGCCAAACCAAAACTCTTGGGTTCAAATCTGCAGCGGGTGGATTTGGAAACAATGACCTTATCTCCCAGGTTAACATGCCTAAAACGAGTACAAGGAAATGCCATAGGAAGTAAAGGGGTGAGGTTTGATGTTAGCCGTATCGGCCATTAAATGCCAACTGAATCATAAAAGTACGAGACTAGCATCATATGACTTGTACGTCGCTCATATAAAAAGGTCTTTTACCTTTTTTTCATACGTGCATTTAGACAAAAAAAAATGAGTGTACAAGAAATTAAGATGATATAAGCTGCCTTGCTTAAATCAACAACAAAATCGAACAGAAAACATAGCAAACACAATATAATAAAAAAAGGACCTTGACTCCCAGGTCAACCAAGCCTTGAGTGGGTACCGGGTGCCGTCCCGGGAAGTAAAGACGGCCGGCGTCATGCTGACCACATCACCCATATTGTACCGATTGGTCTATAAAATATAGGTCTAGTCATATATGCCCTACACGCCTAAAGGCGTGGAAAAGGGACCTTTCCTTTTTTTTGTTACAATATAATCATTCGTCAAACACAAATGACTAAGGGAAGTAATAATTAAATGGGATGAATTCAAGAAAGGTGGAGACAACTACTCATACCAAGAGTTTTAAGAAAAGGAAGACAGAAATACACTCGGCCCATCATACAGAGAAGAAGACAATAGGAAATGGGAAACAAATGGTTTGAGAAAACAGAGACATCCAAGAAAAAACCCTTAGATCAGCATTGTTGAAAGATGCTGGATTAGATTCTGTCCATGAATCCTCAAGGGTTGCACAGGACAGAATAGAGTGCAGGATTAGACTGTGAGCCTTATGTGGTATCATGGTGTCCCATAATTTTCCATACATAGCAAAACATAAACATATACTCAAGGTCAATACAAGCATACTCCAGCTATGCTTATACGTGTTCTTCCCCAGTGGAGGACATGTAATGAAATACATTTAAAACAATATCAGTCACGTAGAGGATACTATATCAAAGAAAATGGTACCATTAAAAATATATTTCAAATGTATGTATATTAGGGACACCTTGTGAAGAATAAAATCATTAAGCTTACGTATCCCTTTCGACTCGTAGTCTTCCTTCTTGTCCTCATACTCCTTCCTTTTGTCATTCCCCTCTGTCATTATCTGTTGACTGTTCTGAATATTGAGCTGAGAGGCGCCATCTGCATTAAAAACTGTTCGGTTCCCACCACATAATGACTTGCCCAGAACAGATATCCAGCTGCTATTGGAGGAGCTGCCATTGGTAGAGCCCATGGTAGAGGAAGATAAAGCTGCGATCAAATCGGGCAAGTCTTGGAGAAAGCCGCTCGTATTGTATAGCTTAGTTAACTGTTGAGAGATAACGAATTTAATGTCATAAATAAGGTAAAGGGACCCTTTTCCACGCCTTTGGGCGCAAAGGGCTTATAGGGCTAGACCTATATTTTATAGACCAATCGGCACATGATGTGTGATGTGGTCAGCATCACGCCAGCTGCCTTTACTTCCCGGGACTGCTCCTGGTACCCACTCAAGGCTGGGTCGACCTGGGAGCCAGGGTCATTTCTGGAGAGAAAAAAATCTGGCCTCGCCAGTGAGGGGTCCCACGACTTTCTGATCCGCAGGCGAGCGTCTAGCCGCTCCACCACGGTGACTTCCCAGAAATAAGGTGGTGGCCAAATATATGAGACCAACTAATATATAACTGATATTTTGACACTATGACGAAGTAATGCATTGACAGAGGAGTGGCTGGCCGAACGGTTCCAAACACAGTGTTCTCAAGTGGCAGACCTGGGTACAAATCCTCGGTAAGATAGTGGAATTTTTTCCTGTTGGGGAAATAATAAAATTACAACCTGCATAGTCCACGGTGACAGCACTAGCCATAGGGGCCCTGTATACTTAGACTCAAAGACCCTCCCACACACACACCTGCCTACTCCACAAAAGTGTTAAACACAGGCAGCAACTAGCAGGGTTGTTTAGGCTAGAATGATGACTGCGATGATTACATTAAGTGGGTCCTAAAATAGCAGTAAGAGTGTGGGAAAATCAATTTTTTATTATGTGGTCTTAAACTTGTGGCCACCCTTCTACTTTAATGATGCCACTTACATCTGCCTGAGTGGTAAAGAATACCAGACTCTCATTCTCATGAAACAGGTTTGAATCTTTAGTAGGGTCATGACAATTTCTGTCAGGGTAAAGATAAAAATCCACTGTTCATGGTGAATGTAGTAACCATGTGGAAGAAACTACTCCGACTCAAGATATCCCCCCAACCCCCCACCTTATTTGACTGATAGAAAAGGTAAAGTCCTGGGAAGTAAAGGCAGCTGACACAATGATGACCCACCAACTGGTCTGAAAAGTTATGCCCAATACCCCTAACAATGTAGAAAAGGAGCCTTTACTTAACAAGAACCCCTCCTTCCACCACCCAAACCGCCACTACTGCTTATATTATTTACCACTTCAGTGGTGTAGGCACGGGCGTCTCTGAGCCTAAGGATTTGGGGCCGCTTTGCTAGTGCTTCTTCCACTCACTGTGCAGGTCAGGATTTTATTTTTGTCCCTGACAGAAAGAAAAAACACCAATAACCTTACCAAGAGATTTGAACCTGGTTAACCATTCGGCCAGCCACCCCCCCCCCCCCCCCCCCCCATCTTATACTGACCTAAAAAGTGGTAAAGTACTGGCAGTAATGTCTTTGCACTGAAACCCACAAGGGTATAGAAAAAAAGGAAGACCAAAAAACACATGGAGACGGTAGCTAGAGAGTGAAGTTACAAAGATGGGGAGGACATGGGCAGAGCTGCATGTGACAGCGAAGGATAGAACGATTTGGTGTGAGTTGGTTGAGGGCCTATGCTCCATTGGGGGTTAGAAAGGCAGAAGACTGACAGTAACAACAGAATAATTTGATCTACTTTATTGAAGACCTCCACACTGAAGACATGCAGATTTGAAGTTCTCAGCAGTGAAACCCTCAGCATTCAAGCACTCAGAATTGAAGCACTCAGAACTAAAGCACTCAGAGCTGAAGCACTCAGAGCTGAAGCACTCAGAACTGAAGCACTCAGAGCTAAAGCACTCAGAACTAAAGCACTCAGAACTGAAGCACTCAGAACTGAAGCACTCAGAACTGAAGCACTCAGAGCTGAAGCACTCAGAGCTGAAGCACTCAGAACTGAAGTACTCATGACTGAAGCACCCAGAATTGAAGCACTCAGAACTGAAGCCCTCAGCACTGACACATTCACAACTGACACCCTCAGAAATTAAGACACACATTTCAAAACCCTAAGCACTGATACCCTCAGAAGAGAAGCCCTCACCAGTGATGATACAACATCTCTGATGCTCTTAGAAGAAGCATGATGTAAGGTGTTCTTCTAAATGAGGCAGAGAGCTGTGCAAATTGACGCTAATGACACCGCGTATACTCTCAGTGAGTCAGCATTAAATATAATAATAATAAGTATAGAGGACTCTGGGGAGCAGTGAATCCACATCACTCGCCAGAATGGCAGACTTGGGAATTAAGATCGTTAAAGCAAAAAACGAGACGCACCCAGACACACCAGAAAACTTGTTAATCTACACAGAACTGGTACTATTAGCCATCAGACGTTGGGGTTCATACTGAGGGGAGGATCTGAGCATCTACGGACATGTCCGGAGTGCAATGATGATAACCCAACTAACTAACCAACAATAAGTAACGTGTTGAGTTGAGTTGAGTCCAGAATCGACATCACAGCACTCGCGGCATTCCCATGTGTGCTAGGCCTCATCTTCAGCAGCCAACGCAGAGTTCCAATACTGATGGTACCAGTCAAAATCTGGTTATATGTCTGTCTTGCCTTTCCTCTTAGTGTAGTAAGCCAGCCAGACCCTCTGGTTACACCCAGGTGCCTCATTCTCTCCAGGCCATTATAATCTTATTTCTTTACTGATTCTGTTGCTTGTTCCTAAAGGGCCTTGACCACATTGTAATATATGAATAAGTAACGTGATAAAGCTGAAAAGAGATAATGTCTGAACTGTGAGACTTACATCGGCTATCAGCTGTGGAATGGCTGCCAAAAAGTCCAGATTTGAACTCAATGCCACTTCTGTGAGATTTAGAAAAATGCCTCTAACCTGTGAATAGAAAACTAGAATTCTCAGAACTCTTCAACACACAGAAAACACAATCACAGAGCACACAAAAACACAATTACAGAGCACAGAAAACATTTTCAATCTGCTAGGCTTTTTAAGCATCTCAGTAAAATGAATTTTTTTTTTTTTAAAGTTACAATGCATTCAGACATTTTTCATTTGTCATATTAATTATCCTATAATTTGATTATGTGAGTTGTATACTGCATTCCATGTGTTTATTCGTCAGGTACATTGTTAAATATACTTGAGGCGAGATCACAGCAGATTGGTCTGAAAATCCATAAAGGAAAGACAAAGATAATGAGAATAAATCAGGCAAATAGTAATGTGGTTTCTCTTAATGGAGTCGTACACCTATCTGGGCAGTAATGTAGATAAAGATCGAGAAACTGATAGAGATATTAAAATAAGAATACAAAAGGCAAGAGGAGCTTTCATAGCACTAGGGAATTTGTGGAGGTCAAAAGAAATACTAAACTTAAAATTTTTTAATTTAATGTCAAATCAATACTTTTGCATAAGGCGGAACATGGAGAACAACTAAGGCAATTACTAATAAATTACAGACATTCATTAACTGGTGTCTGCGCAGAATAGAGGGAATTAAATGGTATGATAGAATAACTAATGTAGAGCTTTGGGAGAGAACTAAACAGGCTCCAGTGGACCAAGAGGTAAGTAAAAGATGCTGGAGTTGGATAGGACTCAGGACACACACTGAGAAAACAGGAAAACATCATAACTAAAATGTCTTCGCATTGGAACCCACAGGGGCATAGGAATAAAGAAAGGCCAAAAAACACATGGAGAAGAGAGCTGCAGAATGAAGTCATAAAGATGGGGAGTACATGGGGAGAGCTCCATGTAATGGCAAAGGATAGAACGACTTGGCGTGAGTTGGTTGAGGGCCTGTGCTCCATTGAGGGATAGAAAGGCAGAAGAAGAAGATGTTGTTCTATTTGGATTCTTTTTCTACTTCTAAGTTAGCGGGGCAGTTGGCACATTGTGGTGTGGTTTACAGCTGGGCTGCTACATCAGGGCTTTTCTATTCAACACATTTGATACAGCACACGTCTGATTAGTCTCCTTGTATTACACAGGTGTTGGGGCCCCTGTGAGTCTACTCCCCCTCCCCCCAAATGTGGCCCCATAACCAACACGGACAGTTTGGATTATGCATGTTGTCTTGCATTCAGACTTATGTCACCTGTTGAATGTTGAATTAATAATCAACATCACAACACTCAGGACACCCCCATAAGCGCTCTGCCCCCATCTTCAGCAACAAGCGAAGAGTTCCAATTCCGATGGCACCAGTAATTGTCTAATCACTAGCGGCTTTAGCTGACGGGCTGTGCTGCTAGAGTCACCAGGTTGGGCTAATGATGCGTTCAAGCAGCGGTTCTCAAACTGGGTGCCGTGAGCGTATGCCAGGAGTGCCGCGGCAATAATCAAGAAAAGTCGGATAAAAATTGTAAAATTATTAAAGGCATTAAAAGTTAAAATTCAAGTTGTCTTCCCTCGCCAGTCAAAAATAGTTAATTTCTTGTTTGAACATCACTGCGTTAACGCATCGTTAGCCCAACTCTGTGACGTCAGCACCACGGCTCGTAAGCTGGAGCGGTCATGGTCAGATTGTATACCCGTCTGGCCTTCACCCTGAGTGCAGAGCACCAGCCAGATCCCCTTTAACTCCTCGCAGCGCCATTCTTCCCAGACTGTAATGATCTATCCGTAATTATCTACATTTAATTTCTCAGATATGTTATTGTTTGTCTGGATTATGTATTCTGCATTATGTTAAGATAAATGTTTATACATTTGGGTTATGGGTGTTGTTCATGTCCCAGTATATTTTATTATTCAGATAGGTTGTTTTTTATGTTTTCTTCTTAGCATTCACTGGCTGTAAACTCTTGGCAGAAACTTCTGATTGTTTGTCGACTTCCAATCTCAGGTCTTGTTCCAGAACAGGAGTCTTGCTTGCACATCCACTTTACAGATCTGACTTATTCATATGCAGACTGTTGGCTCCTTCCCTCTCTGGCAAATGCACTCCGACTTAAAAAGAAAAGTTGACATTTTTTTTTAAAAACAGGTTTTTGCAGAACCAACCCCAGCCTTGGGGGGGAAAGGGGGGGAGGGCGCTTGGGGGGGGGGGGGGGCTTCAATAGTTTGCAGTTGCTTTCTGAGGGGTCAGCTCTCGATACCACTGTCAAACCAATGCAAGGCAGTCTGCTCCAAATCTCCTTTAGCTGGGATTGAACCTGGCATCCCAGCATTGTGCACAATGTGTTTGTGTTTGCAATGCCTCAGCCACAGACACCAACAAAGGAAAAAACCTCTAATTTTTTGCCTTTTACCACAAGCTTCTTGGGGGTCAGTGGGTCTATCTCCCCACCCCCACATAAATGGGGCCCTGGAATCCACATAGGTAGTTTTTTTTTTTTTTTTTTCAAATTGACCTTTTTTTTTCAAATTGACCTTTTTTTTTTTTAAAGTTCATGAACGATAACAAAGGCAGTCCCAGGCCATACTCAAGCAATGGTAACACATACAACACAGACATAATACACACTGTTCATAAGGCAGACTGGTATACCTGACTGACAAGTTTGCCTCTGTCTATATTAATTGCGATGGCCTCTACCAATTGGGATATGTCATCAAGGCTCATGTTACAAACTTGACTGTGAAGACTGGCAGCCTCTGTCTCATTTTCAAAGTCAAAATATTCCAGAAGAATCTGGAAACATTCAGAACACCATATATAAAATACCCGCAAACACAGTCCATAAATCTAGCAGTAGAGTGCAGCAGCATCAAACAGGCATCTGAATTTAAATAATTACGTACAACATTCACCAAAGATGGTAAATTAATATTTGATGCAGGAGCTGAGTTGAGCCGAGTCCAGAATTGACATCACAGCACTCAGGGCATACCCAAGCATGCTCCGTCCTCATCTCCAGCAGCCAGCGCAGAGTTCCAATATTGATGATGTTGGTCACAATCTGGTTATATGTCTGTCTTGCCTTTCCTCTAATGTTGTGAGCCGGCCAGACCCCCTGGTTACACCCAGGTGCCTCATTCTCTCCAGGTCATAATGATCTTCTTTCTCTACTGATTCCGTTGCTTGTTCCCAAAGGGCCTTGACCACATCTGCCTTGTCATGTATCAATTCACCACCCAGTGGTGCAAATCCAGCCAGATCTGTCTGCTTGTTCATTACCCACCACACCAGCATGGCCTGGAAAAAAGATCCAAAGTATGCTCACTACCCTTGACCTTTCCAGTGAAGCTTGCCACTCTGCTGGAAGCATCTGATGCAGGAACGCAAACCAAGTACTGGCACAGCTATCCCCATTTTACAGCATAAGGCAAACACAATCAGCACAAAGAAACATCTCATACAAAACAGATTCATTCCCACCCTATGCTACTATTACCACACATGGTCACTCACAAAAAAATCAGAAAAGTAAATAAGGTGCTTTACTAATATCCTAACCCAAACAGGGAAAATCCACAGGTCAAGGAACAGTCTAATATTTAGGTGGTAGGTAGGCTCCATGCAGTTGTGGGACCTAGGCTGAACTGGATGTAGGTGGGTTGGGGTTAGGGCCAGTTCTAGATGTTTTGGGGTCATTAAAAGCATCAGTAAGCCAGGAAACCCAGTCTTACCACACTCTAAAATGTTGGACTGTCCTGTGAGTAGGATAATAATAAAAAACCGTAAATAGTAACCATGAAAATAAGATGTCTGAGAAGGGTTGCAGGAGTGACCAGAAGAGATAAAATCAGGCATGAGGTCATAAGAGAAAAGGCTGACATAGAACCAGTTCTAAATTACAAAGGCAGCAAATTAATGGTCTGCCCACTTAGAGAGAATGCTGTGTGATGCCCTACCGTACAAGCCATACACCAAAAGAGGAGAAGAACGTAGAGCACAAGGTCAACTAAGTACAAAGGTTAAAAGGTTAAAGTTGAGAGAATCGACTTCATTGCACTGGATTTTATCCCATATGGCTACAAAGCGGCTAGCTGCTGCCAAGAGCACCGCACACAGCATGAACTCCGCAGGGATCTCTGTAAAAATTGCACTCGTGAACTGAAGGGCACAGCTGTGAAATGAACCCACAACTTTCAGAGCGCAAGGCAAACGGCTTAACCAACTCGCTTAACTTAACCCCCCCCCCCCCCCTCCCCCCAAAACAAGATGAAAAGATAACATCAGAAAAAGTCTACAATAGCACAATGTGTTTATATGGTCAGGATTTTATTTAGACTACTGCAACAAATTTATCAAACATATTTCTCATTTAATACTTCTTCTTCTTCTTTCGTTCGCATGAAATAAATTGTCTATATCTGCAAAGCTGTCTCTAGTATGAATTTCACTGTCTTTTGTAATTCACTAAGCGGCCCGTAAAGTTTGACTTCCACAAGTGTCTCTTTTGGCCAAAGGTTTTGCCTGAAAGCGTTGAATCTGGGACAGTCTTGAAGGATGTGATCTGTTGTTTCAGGTGCCAGTCCACAAGTACACATGGCTGATTGGCCAATCTTAAATTTGTTGTACATGTGGGAGCGAAGTCGATTGTGCCCTGTTCTAAGGCGAAGGATAATGACTTGCTCTGGTCTGTCCATAATATGGTAATCATCTTGTGCCAGTTTCGGTGGCATTCTGATTGATTTGATCATTCTCTTCTTCTGTTGATAAGAGACTGGTATGTTAGGTTGTTCTTCAGTTGCACCTTCCTTAGCTAGTTTATCAGCTTTTTTGTTTCCGGGAACTCCACAGTGGGAAGGTATCCACTGCATTACTAATTTACAGCGGTTGCCTAGTTCGGATAATAGTGTCCGTATGCTTCGTAATCATTTAATACTGACTGAAGTGTCCGTGGCTTAGGTATTGCAAGTCCGACTCTAATTCCAACGTATCGTGCTCGAAACCCACTGTTGGCTGCGTGTATTTTCATTATGGTATGGGACGTCGCAGGTAAACCCAGCCTAAAGTGGGTACCAGGATAGATGTCCTAGGGAAGTTAAGACAGCCGGCATAATGCTGACCCCATTACCCACCTAGTGCCGATGGTCTGTAAAAAATGTGGGTGCTCTTCCCATATACCCGATATGCCTAAAGGTGTGAAAAGGGATCTTTACTTACTTCGTTACCTTTTTTTTTTTTTTACTTGTAATACTGACTATCAAAATAATGTCCACAGGAGACAGTAAAATGAGTAAACATCTGTTACCTGATCTTGGCATACAAATCTGGCCACCTCCTGACTAACAGCAGTGATATTGACAGTGCCGTTAGTAATGGTCAACTGTAGCAAGTCAGACCAGACAGTGATCAGGTCAGTCACTTGTGTCCTGTTGCTGTCACTAACAGCGGATATAATCTGCAACAGACATTTAATTATACCATCAAATCAACCAGGTAGTTCCCAACAGAATCATTAATCACAATATCACATCCAACAATCTACTATCACCAGGATCATCATCTCATCACATCCAACACTTACAGATTTCCACTGTTCTGACAGCAAGCAGCATACAGTTGTGATTGTAACCAAATCAGACAGCAGGCTAAGACAGATGGAGACAGGCATGCTTTATGCTGAGCGGCAAGTTTTGCTTCAGAGTTCCCAGGTAGTTAGTATTCTTTAGATATTTTTTCCGTGGTAGGCAAGAGTGTTGGGAAATGAACATGCAGACAGACAGGCAACACCAATGGGGAGTGAATTTATGCATAACAAGCTAGATGTTTACAAGGTCTTTTGAGAGCAAGTGAAGAATGTGGAGATACAAATAGATCATTATGATCTGAAGAAAACAGTACAGCTAGGTGAATCCAGGGAATCTAGACACTCTACACTCAGAGGAAAGGGAAGATGGACACATAATCAAACTGCTAACGGCGCCATCAGAACTGGAACTCTTTGCTGGCTGCTAAAGATAAGGATGGAGCACTTATGGGAATGTCCTGAGTATGGCAATATAAGTTCTTAGCTCAACGCACATCCAACATTCAGTCACCAACATAATCATCATCTCATCACATCTAACAGTAAATCACCAACATAATAATCATCTCATTACATCCAACACTCAGTCGCCAATATAATCATCCCCTGAACATATCCAACAGTCAAAAATCATTTGTGTAGTTGTCTCAACACATTCAACACTCAATCACCAACATAATCATCATCTCATCACATCCAACAGTCAACCCCTAGCATAATCATCATCTTATCACATCCTACATTCAATCACCAACATAATCATCATCTCATCGCATCCAACTGTCAATCCCTAGCATAATCATCATCTTATCACATCCTACATTCAATCACCAACATAATCATCATCTCATCACATCCAACAGTCAACCCCTAGCATAATCATCATCTTATCACATCCTACATTCAATCACCAACATAATCATGATCTCATCGCATCCAACTGTCAATCATCATTTGAGTACTTGCCTCATCACTTCCAACACTCAAACATTGCAAACATCCTCTTTTCAACCATTGCCAATTACAGCAACCCACAACACTCAACAAAATAACTTTCTCGGAGTTGTCTTTAAGAGAAAGGTGTCATGCTAGGACACTCACTGTTTTATTCCCTGCAATAACACGTTATGGACCTAATGAACATCCAGGACCTAAAACAGTCGGCAACGAACCGCCAGACATGTAGAGCTATGACTTCTGCTATGACCTGTGCCCTAGGCTCGGTGTGGTTTCCGGAAAAGAGGGGGGGAGGCACTGTGTATACTACACATGTGTAACTGCAGCAAGTCAGACCAGACTGTGATCAGGTCAGTCAGTTGGATTCTGTTGCTGTCACTAACAGCAGACATAACCTACAGCAGACATCATTTCATTACAATCAAATCAAACAGTTAATTCCCAAAGGGGAACTCTGAAGCGATGCTTGTCACTTTGCACGATGCATGCTTGTCTCCATCTTTCTGAACATGCTTGTACTAAATACGTGTTGCTGGGAGGACATTTACTGTACAATCATTTGTCCCAGTATCTGTTAGCAAGAGGACACTGAGCAGGAGAGAACTTACCTTAGGCAGGTCCAGTGAGGCATTAAGCATGGTTTTTATAGCGTTGCCAGACAAGCTAATGTTGTGCCTGGCCAATGACTCTGTCAGATTTTCCATGCTAGACAATACATCGGCAAGCCTTAGAGTCGTATCCCCTACAATGTTGCCATAAGGAAGATAACAATCAATGTTTAAATTGCTTGAAAGACGATAAAGCAATCAATTTTTACAATAGAACCATAAAGAAAATGTAATAATTCAGATAATCAGTTAATTTTTTTCAATGTTACCATAAAGATTTTGCAACTACTGGGCGTAAATTTGCTTAGAAAAACCAAAACAGCCAAAAAAATACTGGGGTTGGTTCTGCAAAGTCCTGTAAGGGATACGCAACTAACTTTTTACCATAAAGAAGACAAAACAATCAATTTTAAAAATATTACCATCAGGAAAATAAAACAAACTATTTTTACAATGCTACTCCAGAATTCAACAGTCTCTTTTGATAGCTGTTAAACCAAGGTACAGGTGTATGAGTGTAAAAGTGTATGAGTGTACGAGTGTATGAGTGTACAGTGTACGAGTGTACAGTGTACGAGTGTACAGTGTACGAGTGTACAGTGCACGAGTGTACAGTGTATGAGTGTATGAGTGTACGAGTGTATGAGTGTATGAGTGTACGAGTGTATGAGTGTAAAAGTGTACGAGTGTAAAAGTGTATGAGTGTATGAGTGTACGAGTGTAAAAGTGTATGAGTGTATGAGTGTCAGCGTATGAGTGTACAGTTACGAGTGTATGAGTGTATGAGTGTACGAGTGTATGAGTGTATGAGTGTACGAGTGTATGAGTGTAAAAGTGTACGAGTGTAAGAGTGTAAAAGTGTATGAGTGTATGAGTGTACGAGTGTAAAAGTGTATGAGTGTATGAGTGTCAGTGTATGAGTGTACAGTGTACAAGTGTATGAGTGTACAGTTACGAGTGTATGAGTGTACAGTGTATGCTTGTACAGTGGACGAGTGTATGAGTGTACAGTGTATGAGTGTACGAGTGTACAGTGTACGAGTGTACAGTGTTGGAGTGTATGAGTGTACAGTGTACGAGTGTATGAGTGCACAGTGACAACAGCAGTATCCAAGATGCAACATAAATATGTGATGGCTGTCTCAAAGTTGTCATTGATTTAATGCTGTACCATCTCCACAATGGCGGTGAGCCTTATTAGGTTATGCTTTATTTAGAAATATTACATGTCAGACTATCAAACTCTTCTACTGTGTGACTCTTGCGCCACTGACCAACAGTCAAGAGAATGATCTTGTTTTTGTTTTTTTTAATCAATCAATTAACGTTGACCACTTTCAGCTGAGGGCCAGAACACTCTGCCCTCTTGGCTATATTTGTGGTGACATTTCTGGTCTTCATCTCATCTGATTTTGAATTGTGCTGTCAGTGTTCTGTCGCTCAGTGTTTGTTGTGGTTTCTTGTAGTTTGGCTGATTTTGTATCTGGCTGGCCTTGTGCCGCGTCCAGGTCGTTGGATTGGCTGCTCCGCCATCAAGTCAATTTCGGGTGGGTTTGATTGGCCAGTTGGTGTGTCCAAGGAGGGGTATCTACTTAATCTTAAAAAAAAAAAAAAGACTAGCAGTTATTTGCTTTGAGCGGATAGCAAAGGGTTATGGTGGGATCTGGTGTTGTTTCGGTGGTCTTCTTCTATCTTTGCTGTCGGGTGCTTTTTTTCCTAAACAACCTGCTTAAGTACATTTAACTCTGGTACATCAAAGATGGTGAAACATGTTAACTAAGCTTCAATAAACAGCTGTTATAGAACTTACCTAAATTGTTGGAAGCATTCACCACAGTCTCCAAGAACTTCTCCAACAGTGGGATGTCTCTAACCAGTCTGACTATCATGTCACCATTGCTGGATGCCAGTCTCTCTAGGTCATCCACTAGTCGAACCAACCTGTGACAGCATTAACAATTTCATTGTTATACTTCTGTCAGCAGTGCATATAACAATATAACAATGATATGTTGAATGTTGCATTAACTCTTTAAGTCCCAGAGGGTTTAGCATCAAAGGCCCAAGTCAAGAGATAAGTAAAATCGTTGCATCTTGCGTTTATTGGGCTTCTGGGCAGTAACCTATGAACGTATGATGTGTTCCTTGGTACTCAAAGAGTTAAGAATTGACAACACAGCACTCAGTACACTCCTATAAGTGCCCTATCCCCATTTTCAAACACAGAATTTTAATTCTGATGGCACCAGTAACTGTCTGATTGTATATCCGAATCGCCTTTCCCTCGAGTGTTGAGCATCGGCCAGATCCCCTGGTATTCCTCTCAGAACTCTCCTCAGACCATTACGATCAATTTGATAGTGATGATAAATGACAGTTAGTTGTGTATCCTTTACAGGACATTGCGGAACCAACCCCAGCATTTGCTAGTTGTTGTGGTTTTTCGAGAACAATTTTTTTAGGATCATCAGTAGTTTGCCACTGCTTTCTAAAAAGTCAGCTCTCTGTACCACTGTCAAAACCAACGCAAGACAAACCACAGGTGGGATCGAACCTGGCACCCCAGGATTACAAAGCACATGCAAGAGAAAGAGAGTCCACACAGGACCAATACTGAACTTTAAAGGCAGACAACAAATTAAATGGTTTGGCCAAGTAAAAAAGACTGGCATCAGATAGGGCACCACAGACAGCAATGTTATATAGATACAGCAGTAACAGATCCAGAGGTCGACCGCGCAGAATATGGACCGCAGAAAAATCACAGACATTGAAAAGTATTTGATATGATGCAAACAAAAGGGCCCGTTCCAGAGATCTCTTCCTGCTCTGACACCATGAGGCATTCCAGGAGCAGAGAAAAGAAGAAGAAAAGAAAAACAAATCAGGCAGTTTTCCTCAAGAAAGATGAAGTCATAAACTGATTAGGCAAACCAGACGTAGACAGTCAGTGTTTGTCAGATAGGTTTATCATCATCATCAGGTGCCTTGCCGACTGGCGTGGGCGATCATGCCTCTCCATAATCTGCGATCTCCTGCAGCATGTATCAGTTTGTGTGCCCACACACCTCCATGCCATGCAACAAGACTGTCAAGCATCTTCTCTCGTTGTCTACCTCTATCTCTCCTTCCACATATCTTTCCAGTGGTCACAACATGTTCTATTTTCCCTCTTCTCATAACATGGCCGAAAAATGATGACTGTCTCCTTCTGATGTCTGTGATAAGTTGTCTTCGGGCTCCCGCCTCTTTCAAAACCTCTTGGTTGCTCTTTTTGGCTGTCCAAGGTATTCTAAGCATTCTTCTGTAAAACCACATCTCCGAGGCCTCCAGGAATTGTTTGGCCTGCCTACCGATTGTCCAGGATTCACAGCCATATGTTAAAACTGGATGTATGTAGCAAGCAAGAATTCTTTTTCTAACTCTCAATAAAAAGGATAAATTGCACAAGATGTTTTTCATTTTATAAAATGCAGTTTTTGCCTGTCCTATTCTGTTTCTTATCTCAGTTATGCATCTTCCATCTGATGTTATCCATGTGCCCAGATACTTAAATTTCTGTACTTGTCCTAAAATAACACCATCAACTTTTTTTACACACTTAGGAATAATTCGTTTCTTTGATACCACCATTACTTCTGTCTTCCCATTATTCAAACTGAGGCCCATTCTTCCACTTTCTAACACCACAATGTCTATCATTTCCTGTAGTTCAGACAGGTTACAAGAAGGAATTGACTCAAAACCTATAAATGACGTAAGTCTGATAAAAAGAGAGCAAGGGGAAGGTAAAGAGATAAACAGAGGCCAGACAAGAACACTGACCTGATCATTGATTGTGGTGATTGTGTAAGATGGCTAAATATTAAACATGACAGGGCTTCATATGACAGCCCACATCTGTCTGCAAAGCACATGATTATGATAGGTAGGTGAAGATGATGACGTTAAAACTGACAAAGGCATTCAGTAAAAGATAAATGTCCAACTCAGCCAGGGATTTACTGACATCTAAATGACACTCACATGAACCTGACAATAATTTTTTTTTTCTTTTATTTCAGCACTCATCTGCCTGGGGAAACATTTAAAGTAAACACTTCACAAGCAACAACAGTCTAGAGGCCCCACAACTATAGACACTGTGTGGGAGTTAACATTCCTAGCAAACACTTCCCATAAAACATAATGGCGGTGCCAATATTAAGGACTGATAATGATATGGGAGTGGAGGGAGGGGGGGGGGGGGGGGGGGGGAAACCTCGTCTTCTGCCATATTTCCCCCAATGGAGCATAGGCCATCAACCAACCCACGCCAAGTCATCCTTTTCTTTGCTGTCGCATGCAACCTATCCCATGTCCTTCCCCTTTTCATTACATAATTCTCTTCTCTTTTTAAGCATCTTTTATTTCTCTAATCCTGTGGATTCCAGCACAAGGACTTTCTAGTTTTATTGTTATCTGTTTCATTGTGTGTCAAATTCTTCTTCTTCTTCGCATTTACCGGCTGTAAACTCCAGAGGAATGTTGTGGTTGTTCGTTCACCTCTGAACTTACGCCTTGTTCCCGGAGTGTTGCATGTACATCCGTTTTACATATCTGACTTATTTGTATGCAGACTGTTAGTTCCTTGCCTCTCGAGCAGATGCACACTGACTTTGAAGTAAGGAAGCCCCCAGTTAGTTGGCTTTTATTACATGCCTGTTGGGGAAATAGTAGGTCTAGTTTTCCTCACAATGGGACCCTGGAGTTTACATGGGGATGTGTCCAATTCAAAGCCAGCATCTTTTCCTCACCTCTTAATCCACTATAATTGGTTTTTTTTTAAAACCTATACCAGTGATTCTGCTATACCATTTAATTTCCCCTTTTCAGTGCTGGCATCAGTTAACAAATCTCTGTAATTTACTAATAATTAATTAAACTCTTCTCCATGTTTCAGCACTACTGACTTCATATTATAGTTAAATATTTTAATTTTGGTACTATTTATTCACACAGCCTCCTTAACAAGCATGTCAAAAGTCAGTGTGCATTCGCCTGAGAGGTAAGGAACCAACAGTATGCATACAAATGAGCCAGATCTGTAAAATGGATGTTTATGCAAAAAAATCAAGTTCTGGAACATTCTTCCTTGTTGGCGCTCAACACTCAGGGGAAAGGCAAGACAGATGTACAATCAGACAGTTACTGGTGCCATCGGAATCGGAACTCTTTGCTTGCTGCTGAAGATGGGGATGGAGGGCTTATGGGGGTGTCCCAAGTGCTGTGATGTCGATTCTAAATTTGAACATTCAAGTCATGGAACAAGACACAAGTCCAGAACTAGGCAAACAACCAGAACTTTTCACCAGAGTTTACAGCAAACGAATGCTTAAAACTAGAAGAAGAAGAACTATATTACCCCCTAGATTTGCTGTCTGGGTTCTGAGGTTCCCTTTTGGGGGAAAAGAACAGACCTGCTTCCACTCCAACAAGCATGTTGAAAAAGGCGACTAATCAGAGATTTTTCCTCTGAAGTCGGAGCGTGTCTGCCTGAGAGGCGAGGAAATCAACAGTTTGCATACAAGTAAGCCAGACCAGTAAATAGATGTGCATGCAAAATTCCAGTTCCAGAACAAGACCAAAGTCTAGAAGTGGATGAACATCCAAAACTTCCCTCCAGCCAGCAGACGTGAAGAAGAACGAAAAAGAAAACTACCTGGATAAATGTATGTTTCCACATCTTGGAGTGGGGTTTCACCAAGGATGATATGTGGGGGAGGGGGGGGGGGCACATTTGATGTAATCACTTACAGTGAGGAAGATATGTGGGGGGCACATCTGATTTAATCACTTACAGTGAGGAAGATTTGTGGGGGACACATCTGATGTAATCACTTACAGTGAGGAAGATGTGGGGGGGGGGGGGCACATTTGATGTAATCACTTACAGTGAGAAAGATATGTGGGGGGCACATTTGATGTAATCACTTACAGTGAGGAAGATATGTGGGGGACACATCTCATGTAATCACTTACAGTGAGGAAGATGTAGGGGGGGGGGGGGCACATCTGATGTAATCACTTACAGTGAGGAAGATGTGGGGGGGGGCACATTTGATGTAATCACTTACAGTGAGGAAGATATGTGGGGGGCACATTTGATGTAATCACTTACAGTGAGGAAGATATGTGGGGGGACACATTTGATGAAATCACTTACAGTGAGGAAGATATGTGGGGGACACATCTCATGTAATCACTTACATTGAGGAAGATATGTGGGGGGGGGGCACATTTTATGTAATCACTTACAGTCAGGAAGATATGTGGGGAACACATCTGATGTAATCACTTACATTGAGGAAGATATGTGGGGGGGGGGGGGGGGGGCACACATTACAGTCAGGAAGATATGAAATCACTTACAGTGAGGAAGATATGTGGGGGACACATCTGATGTAATCACTTACATTGAGGAAGATATGTGGGGGACACATCTGATGTAATCACTTACAGTGAGGAAGATATGTGGGGGACACATCTGATGTAATCACTTACATTGAGGAAGATATGGGGGGGGGGGGCACATTTGATGTAATCACTTACAGTGAGGAAGATATGTGGGGGGAGGGGGGGGGGGACATCTGATGTAATCACTTACAGTGAGGAAGATATGTGGGGGACACATCTGATGTAATCACTTACATTGAGGTAGATATGTGGGGGACACATCTGATGTAATCACTTACAGTGAGGAAGATATGTGGGGGACACATCTGATGTAATCACTTACATTGAGGTAGATATGTGGGGGACACATCTGATGCAATCACTTACAGTGAGGAAGATATGTGGGGGACACATCTGATGTAATCACTTACAGTGAGGAAAATATCTGGGGGACACATTTGAATGTAATCACTTACAGTGAGTCATTAAAACTGTTGATAGAACCAGGCTCCTCTGTACTCAGGTTCTGCTTGCAGTCATTATTGAAGTCACAGAGGTATGACATCAGAAATGCCATGGTCCCGGCAGATGGCATGGCTTTGGGCTCATAGTGACCTGGAAGACATAACTTGGTATATGAATTCAAGAACAATATCGCAGCAATCATTAAATATTTACGATGTACATAATCATACAAGTAATGGGGAAGACCGATTAAGGTGGTCTCGGAATGTGGTGAATTTCTGTTGTATAGAGCAAACTGTTTGTTCACGGCAATTTGTCTTGCTTGTAAGTCTTATCTGGAAATGAGGAATTTCTGATGAGAAGAACTATCTCTTGGATCCCCAGTGAGTTTTTCTTATCAAATCTACACTAGAGATGGTCAAAAAAGTAATGCCACCTATTTTTTGTTTTGTACTGTATAAGTGTGTCATTTGTACAATTAGCAGCATTACTCAAATGGTCATCATGAATGATGTCATCAACTCAATGGAGTAACTGCAGCAGACGGACAGCCAGTCTCCATTGCCTCAGCCATTGAGGACTGACCTACTTCAGTTGCGGACAATGCTAACATGCACTGTTGTATCTCCATAAACATTCTTCAAACTTTCGTGGCTGCAAACTGGGGTTTTGCCTTCAGCAATGAAGAATTCTACGACGTTACATTGTTTTAACCGAACGTCTTTGGAAGACATTTAAAAACCGTTACAGTGACGCCACCTGTTACTGAAACAAGTTGGCAGTGCTACACAGTGCAGAAGAGTGTTTGAGCAATCCTGCTAAATTTACAAATTGCACACTGATGCAGTATTTACACAGATACAAAAAATAGCAGGCGTTACTTTCTGACCACCCCTCGCACATGTAACAGAAATATCACTTACACTCAATCTACATAATCCTACATGTATATGAGCATACTCTACTACAATATAAAGATGTGTGCAAGTGGGACATGAATGATACAGGTACTGAGGCAGACTTGTGGAAACAAAACGCCATGGACTGTATTGTGTGGAGGGGGCATATACGGAAGGTAATAAGAATGAAGGAAGAAGTGATTGCAGAAACGATGAGAGTCAAGCGTCTGAGAAGACATAGACTATACACAAATGTTGACAACAATGGTCCTGAAATTCCATGCTATAATTGTGGAAGAAGGTGGCCGGTCTTGCTAGTCACACTCACCAATCATGAACATCAAACGGTTACAAGTAACCCGTAGTCCAATATGGGCGGGTATGCTGATGTTGGCCACATTATCTAATAAGAGCTGGCTGGTCATTCAAAAATGAGTCTAGCATCATATGCCCATAGCATAACTTGTGTCAAACAGGTACTTTCTTTAATTTCACTGGTCATAAACAAATGAAATCATTTGATGGCTAGCATGTCCCGTACTGCTAAGTGGTTCCTATCTTCTTAGCCTTCATCGACTAGACTCTGGCGGAAAGTTCTGGCTGTTTGTCCACTCCAGGACTTTGGTCTTGATCCAGAATTAGATTTTTTAAAAATGTTCATGCACATCCATTTTACAGATCTGGCACATCTGTATACAGATTGTTGGTTCCTTGTCTCTCAGGAAGACGAACTGTAACTCTGAAGGAACCCCCAATCAGTCGTGTTCTAAGACTCACACATGTAGTTAATGGGGAGGGACCAAGATGAAGAAAATCATACATTCTGACCACTAAGGGTTTCCGTACATAATTCACAATTATTCATAGTAGAAAACAGCTGTGCAAACAAGGTTTAAAAAAGAATGTGTTTTAAGGCTCTATTTCTGCATTCTTTGATGCATGTTTAACTTATTTATCTAAGTATTCATGCTCATTACAAATGCCCAAAATTTGTTTGATCTCGACCTGTAGTTGACTTAGAGACTTCTTCTTCACGTTCACTGGCTGTAAACTCCAGCAGAAAACTCTGGGCATTCGTCCACCCCCAGACTTTAGTCTTATTCCAGAACCTGAGTGCTTCGTGCAGATCCATTTCACAGATCTGGCTTTTTTTAAGGCAGACTTGGGGTTCCTTGCCTCTCAGGCAGATGTTCTCTCATTTTGAAGGATTTCCCCAATTAGTCAACTCCTATGACTAGCTTGTTGGAGAGGCAGTGAGTCTATTCTTTCACCACAATGTGGACCCAGAATCCACATAAACAGAAAGTTTATAAACTAGAACCTGGAAAGACTAAGCAAACAATGATCACAAAACAATGGACTTACATTCTGGAATATCCTGACGAACATCTGGTCTGAAGCGAACAGCAACCAGAATCACAAACAGAACCAGAGGCCAGGCAATTTCTATGAGAACTCTTATCTGGAGGAGACAGTGGACAACAAACATTCAACAAAAGTACAACTTCTTCTGCCTGCTGATCATCACAAACTGTATTGGGGGCTGCATGGTCTTGAGGCATGGTGTCGGTCTCGAGTGCTAGAGGTCCCTGGTTCAATCCCCAGTAAGGACTGGGATTTTTTCCCGTGGACTTGGACTTCTATTATTTCCCCCTGGTCTCTGGGTAATGAGATCGGACGCCCGTATGCATTGTTGCGCACGTAATAAATCCCTTGGCAGTTGGAAATCAAAAAGAGTAGCCCTGCCTGGGTAAAAATTTAGAGTTAAAAATCTACCTAAAGTATTTCAGGATCCTCCCCGGTGCTACAGAGCCTGTGCACTGTGATGAGCTTCTTCGGACCCAGATTTGAGTTAGAAGATGAACGGAGCACTTAAATCCTTGTGATGGCAACAGCAGTCCTGAAATCCCATGCTCTAACTGTGGAAGACTTTCCTCTGTGCTTTATCAATATCCTACCCCAAACAGAGGAAATCCATAGGTCATGGGACAGTCTTATATTTCAGGGGGTGGTAGATAGGCTGCATGCAGTTGTGGGACCTAGGTTGCATGCAGTTGTGGGACCCATGCTGCACTCTCTCATGAAAAGTAGGTGGGTTGTGGAAACCCAGTCTTACCAACCTCTAAAATGTTGGACTGTCCTGTGACAGCTGAGGTAGGATATTAATAAAGAACCCTTTTCTCAATGTGAGCAGGTCTTGCTAGTTACATTGGCCATCAAAATGGACTGCTTCTCATGTCTCCCTACACCATAACATAAAATAAGTATTTAGAAAGACGGCAACTAATTACTGTTATCATGTAACAATATTATATGCTCTGTCTCCCCATCCCTCCTCCTCTCAATACATACACACGTAAGTACGCTTACATTCCCTCAACCGGTTTGTAATTATTACTTTTATCATTTAACAATTTCACTTCTCTTTCCCTTACCACCCTTCTTCTCTCCATACCTCATTCCTTCTCTCTCTCACCACTCACCTTCACTTTCTCTCTCTCTTCCTCTCCTTTCCTGTCTCTCTCCCCCTTTGTCTCTCTATCTCTGACTCTCAATTAATCTTTCTCTCTCAATCACTCTCACCTTCTCCTTTCCTCTCTGTCTCAAACACACACTGACAAACAAAGAGAGAAGTACTGTAACTCACTGGCTGTCGTTTACGCAGTGTAAAGTTCTTCCACAACAACAGGCGCAGCTGTGACCAGAACCCCATCCTCCAACTGAATGCCAGTAATAGGAAATCTGGCTAGGGCTCTTGTATAAGGCACTTTCCTCCTGAAGAAGCTGACAGCCCAACTCTAGTGTTGTTCCAGTGAATCTGAAACACATCCCAATCAACTATTCATGCTTTGAAAGAACAAACTGTTCAGTTCTGTCATGCATTGTATTTAAAATGTAAAGGACCCTTTTCAAAGCCATTAGGGCATATTGGGTTAGACTGTATGTTGTAGAGACCAGACCAATCTGCACTTGGTGAGTGATGTGGTCAGGCCACCTTTACTTCCAATGATTTTATCAGGTACTTATTTAAGGTCGGTATCTTTGGCTTAGGTGTTAGGAACGAGCTTCACAATGTAGGGTGCTGAGTTCAATCCCAGCTGCGGGGCCTTGCTCTGCCTTAGTTACAGAGGGCTGGTCCATGGCTCATGCAGACATTGTTACTGCCATTAGAGAGGTAGGACGTTAGGGGGATTTTGATAGCAGCACTTTCACATCTTTGGGAGTCGCCGTGGTGTTGGCGGCTAGACGCCCGCCTGCGGATCAGAAGGTCGTGGGTTCGCATCCTGATGGAGCCGGACTTTTTGTTTTCAAACATGACACTGACTTCCTGGTCACCCAGCCTTGAGTGGGTACCAGCAGATGCAGCCCTGGGAAGTAAAGGCGACCCGGCGTGACGATGACCACATCACCCGCCAAGTGCTGATTGGTCTATAAAAATATAGGTCTAGCCCTATATGCCTAATACCCCTAAAGGTGTGGAAAAGGGTTCTTTTACTTTACTTCCACATCTTTGCTAAGAGTGCAAGAACTTGGGGTAAAGATCGGCATAGCCAGGTACAAGAAGCACATCGGACGTACGAGGTCTTGTCAACCAAAACAGGACTATCAACTGCAGGACGCTGATGTATACGCTAAAGAGTGAATCTGAACACCTTTGTACGTGTCCGGAGTGCCGTAAAGATAACCCAAATCATAACTAAACAACCAGCCAAACGGACCGCACATGTATGTTGTTTACTGTGTTACCGCTGCAATCACATGAACGGACACAGTCGTCACGGACACGGACACGATCGTCACAGACACGGACACGATCGTCACGGACACGGACACGATCGTCATGGACACGGACACAATCGTCACGGACACGGACACAATCGTCACGGACACGGACACGATCGTCACGGTCACGGACATAATCCTCACGATCACAATCGTCCCGGACACGGACGTTACGGCAGAGATAAAATTACTTTAACCCTGTAATAATCCCATAGTGAGAATAAAATCTCTTGTACTCCTAACCCGCTGGCACACACACCGCAGATAGTGCTGGTGTACTAATGTATGAGGCAAGCTTGCGATTACTTTCAGTCGATGACTGCGCACAATTTTCTATCTAGCGCGCGGCGGTTCATATACGAACATACCCTGTGACGACGAGCGACGGGGAGCGCGGATCTGGGATAACGCACACGCGTCGATATCAGACTACCCGTGGCCCGTGACCCGTGTGTTCAAGTCCGGCGGCTAATTAGAATGGATTTTAGTGACGTTCAAACCCCGCAACGAGCGACAAACATCTTGTGACACAAAGTGCCACCATTCGAATGAGAATCACCTGGGTACATGTCCCAGAAACAAAGCTCAACTGTTAGGCTTACTGCAGCCCGACCGTGGGTTATATAAGGACCCCCAGACTATAAAGGGGCCGGGTTTAAAAACTATATATATATATATATATATATATATATATATATATATATATATATATATATATATATATATATATATATATATATATCCCGGCTCGCTAGCGTAGTTGGCTAAACCAGACTGCGCGGTCACCGGGCGACGAACTCCTTGTGGTCCGTGTTCACGCCCGGGGGTAGACAGAAAAGCCACATTTTCTCCCAGATTTACGGTATTTATCATGGAATCAAGGCCGAAGGGTTGCGATATCCACAATACCGAGCCTAAGGGTTAACTACTCATGGCTTTTGGATTATATATATATATATATATATATATATATATATATATATATATATATATATATATATAGCGTTCCATATTGGTCCGAGGTTTGATTCGTTTTAGCATGGATTTCTAAATGTTCCGTTCCGTTGCTTTACCCAAAACAAAACGAAATCGTCACGTTTAACCAGCATCCAAGAAAGGAATCTTGCCAGGGGCCGCAATATAGCCCGACCATAAATATGGTCTAATGGTTGAACCCGGTTTCTGAGACCTCTCCACAGGTGATCCTCATCCACATGGTGGCACTTTGTGTCATCGGATGTTTATCGCTTGTGTGATGTCCTGGTGGGGTAAAGATCTACTACTATGGCTTAGCTCTGCACGCCACTAAGATCCGCGAAAATTACTCCTGCAGTGTTGATGCGATCAAAGGAGACACACCCAAATACTGTCTCGGCCGGCGACGAAGTCGTCTACCGGCGAGCAAATGAGCGACCCGGTCGCTGATTTTTACTGGCGCCCCCTTGAATGTGTAGTAAGACCCCCCACTCCCTAACTTTAAAAAAAAAAGTGGTTAAATGGAGGACAAAAAAGAGAAAGACAAGAACTTGGAGAAAAATACCCCTATAAATCACAGTGTTAAATAACACATCTCTGGCTTTTTGTTTTAAATATAGTTGCCCCTCCCCCCTAAATTAGACTTCTAATTAAAATGGGAAAGGGGGGGGGGGTATAACAGATTATTTCTCGTACAAATGACTAAATTAAAAAACTGTTTGACGCCATCTTGAAACAATCCCCGTTGAAAACCGAAGTTATAGACCAGCGGTGCTCAACATGTGCGTGGCGACCCTTTTTGGGTCTAAGTTCATCAGAAAACAAATTGTCATTGAAGTTATAAAAGAAAATAATTGTTTGGGGGCTGCCACAACATGAGGGAACTGCATTAAAGGGTCGCGGCATTAGGAATGTTGACAACGACTGTTTTAGACCATAGCGTTAGACACGAAACGGGTGACATGAAACTTGATCTCATGTCGGTTTTGTTTTACATTGAAATATTTGGCACTCTTCCCAATACCGGTCCCAAATTATTCACTGTGAAAAAACATCCCTTAGAGAGCCTCAAAATGTTATGTAGTAAAAAAAAATCTAGGTCATCATTATCATCAGTTTCCACTTCTGCCGTTGTTGCTAGATGGATGGCAATGTTTTGGACGTTGAGCTAAGTTTTCGATCCATTGAAGCGCCGTGGGGAGTTTTGTTCTTTAAGTACAAGGTACCGCTGACTGAAAGGGAGCTTTCTTCAATCTACTTGAATAGAGTGTTAGGTAACAAATCTGTTTTCTGGGCCAGGTTCTGTCATCAAGTGGTTTGCCAACTAGTTTGAAAACCAGGTTTCTCTCCACTCAAATCTTATAGTTAGACACACACAAAAGCTAGTCGCATAACCTTTCAATGACTCAAAAATCAACCTCCTAATTGTACACGTATCTCTATTCATATATGTGTGTGTGGTTGTGTAGAGTGCATACCAGCCCACGCTCCAGCAACCTCACGAGGTACGAGAGCACCGGTCCCATGCCACTAGTTTAGGTGCTGTGGCAGTGTGCCAACAGCCTTTCATGATTTTGTTAATTTGGTCGGACTCGCGGACTAGAAAGATTGCACAGAATATTCTCAATCCCGTGAAACGCCATTTTTGCTAGATTAAGCTGTTTGGCCTTTAACAAACGCTGCAAAGCCAGAGAGTCTTCCTGGCAATGTCTTCGACAAAAGTCTATACAGATCACAAACGAAAACTGATAGTCCTAACGGCCGATTTCTGCACTGACTTCATTTACTGCCTACTTGTGTATGTGGCCCGTCTTACGTAACATGCTCATGGGGTCGTTTAGGAGCACATGTGATGCGTGAGATGTGTTACGACACTGCCATTAAGACACACTGGATATTTCTATGCATGCCCAGTTATCCAATGCAGCAGACATCACTGACTGTTTCCGTAGGAATTTGGTTATGATTAATCATAACTTGATAGGACAGGCGGCACAGACGTGATTCACCAGTTTTTCTTCCAGGTCAGGGGGATGAATGGTCTCTAGGTATGGTATTCACCTCGAGTGCTGGAGGTCCCGGGTTCAAATCCCTGTGACGGCTGGGGGTTTTTCACGTGGACTTCTAGTAATTTTCCCTGGTCTCCGGGTAGTATGGTCGGACGCCCGTGTGTACTGTTGCGCACGTTTAAAAAAAATACCCTAGCAGCTGGAAATCGAAAACGAGCAGCCTAACTGCGCTGCCCGGGCAAAATTTAGAGTTAAATATCTACCCAAAGTATTTCAGGATCCTCGTCGGTGCAACGGAGTCCGTGCACTGCGCTGAGATTCTTCAGACTCAGGCTTGAGTTAGAAGTAGAACAGAGCACTTATGGGTTACACTTGTGTGCCTTGATGTTGATTCCTTGGGGGGGAAAAAGACAATAACCATCTTTCAGGTCACAGGACCAGGTTAGCCTTAGAGACCCATTCTTACCCGTTAGTCTAGTCTATCCGTGCTTCTCCCACGACTTATCGGTGTCTTATTTGGCAGTCCATTCGTACATAATCCAAACTACACCGGCAAGCCTAAGTGTGTAGATCCAGATGAAGGCAGTGAAGTGCGACTTCCGATTGCTTCTGACCCATTCAGAACGCAGATTACCTGTTTTCTGAAGTATGTTCATGGAGTCTAAAACTCACGAATCTATGTCTCTGCCAGCACATCCATTATACAGCTACTAGCAGTTGTTAAAAATAATAAAAAACACAATGACACTAATAACCTACATAGACGTTTCAACTTACTAAAACAGCCCAAGTGCAACGAGATCCTGCAGTGCCTTAGGAATAATGATAACACAGAAAAGTATAGAGCCAGTAATGGATACAGACTTCTTCTTCTTTGTTCACCTGCTGTAAGCGCTGGAGAAAAGTCCTCATTGTTCCTCTATCAGGACTTCGGCTTTGAGCCAGG